CTCTGTCTCTCACCCTCTCACTCTCTGTTCCTGCTCTGTCTCTCACCCTCTCACTCTCTGTTCCTGCTCTGTCTCTCACCCTCCCCTCTCTGTTCCTGCTCTGTCCTTCTCACTCTCTGTTCCTGCTCTGTCTCTCACCCTCTCACTCTCTGTCCCTGCTCTGTCTCTCACCCTCTCACTCTCTGTCCCTGCTCTGTCTCTCACCCTCTCACTCTCTGTTCCTGCTCTGTCCCTCTCACCCTCTCACTCTCTGTCCCTGCTCTGTCCCTCTCACCCTCTCACTCTCTGTTGCTGCTCTGTCCCTCTCACCTTCCACTCTCTGTTCCTGCTCTGTCCCTCTCACCCTCTCACTCTCTGTTCCTGCTCTGTACCTCTCACTCTCTGTTCCTGCTCTGTCCCTCTCACCCTCTGTTCCTGCTCTGTCCCTCTCACTCTCTGTTCCTGCTCTGTCCCTCTCACTCTCTGTTCCTGCTCTGTCCCTCTCACCCTCCACTCTCTCACTCCCACACTGAGTACCTGAGTCCCTCTCCCCCCTGCCTGCAGACAATCCCTGATAGTACTCAGCAGAGGATGCACCTTCCCATCACTTTGTTGCTATGCGACAGCCAGGATACCGACACTAGGTATCAGTCAGGCTGGCGGTCAGTGCGCATGCGCCGCTCATTGCTCACTGAGTTACAAAGTATCCGGAGCTCAGACTGGGAACTTCTCCGCGTTCTATCAGCACATGGATCGCCGCTCTCCGGCTATTCACTATGGGGACCGTCAGCGAGCTGTGCGTGTCCAGCTTCCAGGCATTCCTCTATAACTCCATCGTACAGGCAGGTGAGAGCTTAAAGGGACCGCAACCATTCCATGTCCTGGGGGTCTCAGTGCCCATCACAGCCCAGGATCACCTGCCAGGGCTTCCCTATAGGGGGTATTACGGTATTAACCCTTTCATCACCTGTCAGGATAACATATAGGGGGTATTACGGTATTAACCCTTTCATCACCTGTCAGGGCTCCTATATAGGGGTATTACGGTATTAACCCTTTCATTACCTGCCAGGGCTCCCATATAGGGGTATTACGGTATTAACCCTTTCATTACCTGCCAGGGCTCCCATATAGGGGGTATTACGGTATTAACCCTTTCATTACCTGCCATGGCTCCTATATAGGGGTACTACGGTATTAACCCTTTCATCACCTGTCAGGGCTCCCATATAGGGGTATTACGGTATTAACCCTTTCATCACCTGTCAGGGCTCCTATATAGGGGTATTACGGTATTAACCATTTCATTACCTGTCAGGGATCACATATAGGGGTATAACAGCATTTAACCCTTCCATTACCTGTCAGGGCTCCCATGGGGGTTATTACAGTATTTAACCCTTTCATTACCTGTCAGGGCTCCCATATAGGGGGATTACGGTATTAACCCTTTCATTACCTGTCAGGGATAATATATAGGGGTATTACGGTATTAACCCTTTCATTACCTGTCAGGGATAACATATAGGGGGTATTACAGTATTAACCCTTTCATTACCTGTCAGGGCCCCTATATAGGAATATTACGGTATTAACTCTTTCATTACCTGTCAGGGCTCCCATTTAGGGGTATTACAGTATTAACCCTTTCATTACCTGTCAGGGCTCCTATATAGGGGTATTACGGTGTTAACCCTTTCATTATCTGCCAGGGCTCCCATATAGGGGTATTACAGTATTTAACCCTTCCATTACCTGTCAGGGCTCCCATATAGGGGATAGTACAGTATTAACCCTTTCATTACCTGTCAGGGCTCACATATAGGGGGTATTACAGTATTTAACCCTTTCATTACCTGTTAGGGCTCACATATATGGGGTTATTACAGTATTTAACCCTTTCATTACCTGTCACGGCTCACATATTGGGGATATTACAGTATTAACCCTTTCATTACCTGCCACAACTCACATATAGGGGGTATTACTGTATTTAACCATTTCATTGCATGTCAGGGCTCACATAAAGGGGATAATACAGTATTTAACCATTTCATTACCTGTCAGGGCTCACATATAGGGAGTATTGCCGTATTTAACCATTTCATTACATGTCAGGGCTCACATATAGGGGGTATAACTGTATTTAACTCTTTCATTACCTGTCAGGGCTTACATATATGGGGTTATTACAATATTAACCCCTTCATTACCTGTCAGGGATCACATATAGGGAGTATAACAGTATTTAACCCTTTCATTACCTGCCAGGGCTCACATATAGGGGTTACTACAGTATCAGTATGAGTTATTACAGTATCACTATGGGTTATTATAGTATCCGTATGGGTTATTACAGTATCAGTATGGAGCATCATATTATTAATATGGGTTATTACAGTATTTAAATCTTCATTGAGCTCATTGCCTGACAGTGGTGTCATCATTTTAGACCCACCATCACCATTGTCCACATGGTTTAATGGACTGCTTTAGTATTTTTTTTCTGATGGGTAGATGAATAACAGCATTTATATGAAATCCAAGCCGAGGAAGGGTTTACCTGTTTGTTCAAGCTCTGGTGAGAGGAGTATTTACTGCAGCACTGCATGCCCAATTCATTGCTTAATCATTTCTGCATTTACTCAGGGGTTCATTCACTACACAGCAAATTGTGGTGAATTGAAAAATTCCGTAAACTCCTGGTTGTAACAAATCGTAATCTGAAAGACAAAATTAAGGCTAAAATAAGTGATTTTTAAAAATTATCTGCCACCGTTAACATGGATAATTAAGTCTTGTGTCTTTGTCTTAAGCCTTTGCAATTCAGTTTCAGTTCACTAGAGTTTGAGTTTAGAGAAAATAAGTAATTTGGAAAAAATCGACAACTATGCTGTAGTTCTTGTTTAGCTTTTTAGCCTAAATTTTACAATTCCGCTTTCAGTTCTCTGCCGTGTCCCACAGAAAGAAGGAAGTAATATTATTTCACAGTCCCACTGACACAGGTTTATATTTGGGGGTTTATTAACTACTGTCCAAATGCACATATTAAGGTATTGGATTACGGAAAACTCTCTCAAACCATCACAACATTTATTAATGTTCGAATTTCGAATAACAGCTTCCGAATAAATTTTAATGTGATCTGGATTTTAGTCTGACTTGATGCAATGGAATGTCTGAAATGCAGAACTGAATGAAAGCAATATACAACCAAATGCTCCTAATCTGGTTATTCGTCAAACTATAAATTCCAGAAAATGAAATCCAAATTGCAAAACTGAGGAATTTGGAAAAAGTCTCTAATTTAAAATTCTCCATTCTTGCTATAATTACAACTTTGCTAGTTTTGTTCCGAGAGAATCTGGTTGCAATGTTATTTTTGATAAGTATATGAATATATTTTATTTTAAACAGTTTGTGAGAATGAATGATTTCATGCCAATATTGCCAAGCTGGATATAGTGGAGTTGGAATAATAGATTATTTCGGCTAATTTAGTCTAATGTTCATATCCTCTTGTTAATTCTTCGCTTAGAGAATAAACGTCTTGTCATGTTTTTATGAGTCTCTTGGTATTGAATATATTTCCAGATTTGGTTTTTCACAAAAATGTGAAAAACTCTGTATCAAACGTGAATTTCATAATTTATTCCACAATGGCTGAATTGGAAGAATTTTCCAAGTTAGCTATGGTTCCAGTTTGGCTTTTTTTTGCCTAAAAAGTCAAATTCCCTTTGAATTCCCAACATTTTACTCTTGTCTGGAGTTTCGCTTGCTTGGGACATAATGTGATTTTTTTCCTGTTAATGGTCAGATGGTCAGTTGGACAAATTACCTGGTTTGCCAAGAACTTTTGGCAATCCCCATGCCTTTTAGGGTCATGGTGCCCGTCCACAGCGCAAACACGTCTCTAATGATGCCCCAGCGCTGTGCTGCTGGAGGACAGTGTCCTGGTGTATCGGGGACACAAAGGAACAAAATCGGAAAGGCATGGCATGACCCCGAAATCGGTACTCCCCCACTGAAATCAGGACTGTTGGGGGGCCTGGATCCCAAATTCAGTCCAGATTCTACAAATCCCAAGTTTGTCACAATGCAATTTCGGTAACCATTGTCATAGGGGTCCCAGAGAGTATATTGTATGATGATTAGCATGGATGTTTTAAAGTTTCCTGTTACTGCGCGTACTCTAGTACTCCGTACTCCTAAAGTAACTTTGGGGTTGGGGGTCAAATATAAAAAAATGGCACTGCAGTTTTTTTGTGCATTTGCCGTTTCTTCCTATTTATTCCCCTGTCAGAGTCTTCAGCTTTGTCCCTCTGCTGACACTTTTTTGGCATTACTTCTAGAAGGAAGGCAGTATGTATAAAGGTTAGGGTATGAGATTTATACATAACAATGTTTTGTATCTGGTGAAAATATTCGCAGGCGTGCAATCATTCACATCACATTATCAGACGTGTGCAAAAAAAACATCAATAAAGCCGACGAGCCACAGACCTGAGGATATCAGCTAACTTTACAAGGGCACAAGGCATTACAAGGGTAATCTGTCTGTAAAAGTGCACCTGTTTTGCAAATAAAAGAGCATATTTCATTGTATTGTCCTTGAAAATGTGTTAAAACTGTTTTATCAAACTTGAAAGGAACACTAAAGTACCAGGAATCAGGAATACAAACATGTTTCCTGACGCCATAGTTCTAACAGTGCCATTTAGGTCCCTAGCCCCTCTTGTCCCCCTTTAAAAAGGTTATTTACTCCACCACTCCAGGCTCCTTGTGGGTGGCTCCGCCCCCTTGGCTGAGATAATCAAACTTGATGATCTTAGTCAATCCAATTAATTCCCTTTTCTCATTAAGGGACAGGCATTAGATGTCAGAATGACTCTATTAAGCTGTAGTTGTTCTGGTGACCATAGTGACCCTTTAAGCTCATCTAGGTTGGGATAGAGACCAAGATGATTTTTCTAGTGGGTGGGTTGGTAATTTGTTTCATTATATATAATTTGGTATCCCACAATGCATAGCACGCAATATATACGCTTTGTTTAATTGTCTACTTGAAGTGGGCTATGTTTTTACACATTTCTGGAGGATGACACTTCAGAGTAATGCTACTGCCTACCTGTTCTTTTTTAGTGCATTGTATAAATAATAATAAAAACAACAAATTATATATATATATATATATATATATATATATATATAAAAAAAAAATTAAACTTGCAATTTAAATATTTGCAGCAAACTCCCAGGGTGTGCTGCGCTCTCACCAAAACAGGAACTTAGTCAATCACGCTACCCAATATAGCATTGCTAAGCTGATCCCACAAGCACACCAGGGGCCCCTTCAGCTGCTCACATTCTGCAGAACTGCAACTCACAGACACTAAAATCAAGAGTTTTTAAGAGTAATATTTTTAGTTCAAAAAGGTGAATACTCCCGGTAGAAAATGGCAACTTCATATTGTCTCTAACATGAGTGAGATCTTGTGTGGGAGCCTGGATTGTCCCTTTAATAATGTAAACCCACCCAGTATAACTAACTGTAACCTAACTTACACAGTGCATCTAACGTGTGTGGGAGCCTGGAGTGTCCCTTTAATAATATTAACCCACCCAGTATAACTGTAACCTAAACTATACAGTGCACCTAACGTGTGTGGAAGCCTGGAGTGTCCCTTTAATAATATAAACCCACCTAGTATAACTAACTGTAACCTAACCTACACAGTGCATCTAACGTGTGTGGGAGCCTGGAGTGTCCCTTTAATAATATAAACCCTCCCAGTATAACTAACTGTAACCTAACATACACAGTGCACCTAACGTGTGTTGGAGCCTGGAGTGTCCCTTTAATAATATAAACCCTCCCAGTATAACTAACTGTAACCTAACATACACAGTGCACCTAACGTGTGTTGGAGCCTGGAGTTTCCCTTTAATAATATAAACCCACCCAGTATAACTGTAATCTAACCTACACAGTGCTTATAAAGTGTGAGAGCCTGGTGTGTCCCTTTAATAATATAAACCCTCCCAGTATGACTAACTGTAACCTAACCTACACATTGCACCTAACATATGTGGGAGCCTGGAGTGTCCCTTTAATAATATAAACCCACCCAGTATAACTAACTGTAACCTAACCTACACAGTGCACCTAACATGTGTGGGAGCCTAGAGTGTCCCTTTAATAATATAAACCCACCCAGTATAACTAACTGTAACCTAACCTACACAGTGCACCTAACATGTGTGGGAGCCTGGAGTGTCCCTTTAATAATATAAACCAACCCAGTATAACTAACTGTAACCTAACCTACACAGTGCATCTAACGTGTGTGGGAGCCTGGAGTGTCCCTTTAATAATATAAACCCACCCAGTATAACTAACTGTAACCTAACCTACACAGTGCATCTAACGTGTGTGGGAGCCTGGAGTGTCCCTTTAATAATATAAACCCACCCAGTATAACTAACTGTAACCTAACCTACACAGTGCACCTAACGTGTGTGGGAGCCTGGAGTGTCCCTTTAATAATATAAACCCACCCAGTATAACTAACTGTAACCTAACCTACACAGTGCATCTAACATGTGTGGGAGCCTGGAGTGTCCCTTTAATAATATAAACCCACCCAGTATAACTAACTGTAACCTAACCTACACAGTGCATCTAACGTGTGTGGGAGCCTGGAGTGTCCCTTTAATAATATAAACCCACCCAGTATAACTAACTGTAACCTAACCTACACAGTGCATCTAACGTGTGTGGGAGCCTGGAGTGTCCCTTTAATAATATAAACCCACCCAGTATAACTAACTGTAACCTAACCTACACAGTGCATCTAACGTGTGTGGGAGCCTGGAGTGTCCCTTTAATAATATAAACCCACCCAGTATAACTGTAACCTAACTTACACAGTGCTTATAAAGTGTGAGAGCCTGGTGTGCCATTTAAAGGTATAAAGCCAGAAGAGGTGACTATGTGATGGATGTCAGTTTTTAAATGCCACAATTTTTTTCTGGATGCTTCTGCAGAAATCACTTAATGGCAGTAAATGTCACCACACCCCATATTTGTAGTTATACTTAACCCTTATTGTGCTGCCAGGGTGAGTAATATGTCACTTTTTTTTTACTCTTGCTAGGCTCGTACTATGTCATATATTATGATCGCACTGGGTGTGGATGAAATGACTGTCTGCATGGGTGTGGGTCTTCATTAACCCCATCTGAGACCCTCGAAGGCTAAGCCTACGCACACCCTGTTCTATTTACAAAGTCACGTCATAAATGGGCTCAATTAGGAGCATTTAGCTTAAATTCAGGCTGTCATCCTTTCCCAATCATTACATTTATCCTCTGGTTATTATATAGGTTATTATACCTATTGCATTTAATATTATTAGAAAATCTATCGAGGATCCCGTGGCCTCATCTTCCATAGACCCCCATACTTTATCTCTAACGCAGAATTGGAAGACTTATCACCATTGACGGAGCCATCATGTAGGCAGACCCGTCATATTTAAGGGTGTCTTCAAAAAACCTAAAGATATATATTATCATGCAGTAAATAAAGTGAGGACTAAATTTATATTATATTGTTATAATTACAGTTTTATGTGCACTTTTTTACACTTTTTTTTTTGGAACACAGATTGGTTTGGTGAGATCTTTAATGGTTGTAGCACTCGGTTTATATTTGATAGTGACCAGGTTTTAATTGTCAATAGAAATGTATTACTTATTGAGTAATGTACTACCAATGTAGAAGATTCAGGCCCAGAAAAATGATGCAACTGGCAGCCTTATTAATAGCTTGTGCCATCTGGTGGCCGATGCATGGCTTGGGCCTACTGGTGGCCTAAATAAGGTTCATGAATTCTGGTGGTATAATCATTACTTATGCCTTCTAGTGGCCAATTCATGGCTCATGTTTTCTGATGGCCAATTAATGGCTCATGTTTTTCATGGCTTATGTTTTCTGATGGCCAATTCATGGCTCATATGTTTTGGATGGCCAATTCATGGCTCATGTGTTTTGGATGGCCAGTTCATGGCTCATGTTTTCTGGTGGCCAATTCATGGCTCATGTTTTCTGATGGCCAATTCATGACTTGTGTTTTCTGATGGCCAATTCATGGCTCATGTTTTCTGGTGGCAATTCATGGCTCATATGTTTTGGATGGCCAATTCATGGCTCGTGTTTTCTGATGGCCAATTCATGGCTCATATTTTCTGATGGCCAATTCATGGCTCATATTTTCTGATGGCCAATTCATGGCTCATGTGTTTTGGATGGCCAATTCATGGCTCGTGTTTTCTGATGGCCAATTCATGGCTCGTGTTTTCTGATGGCCAATTCATGGCTCATGTTTTCTGATGGCCAATTCATGGCTCATGTTTTCTGATGGCCAATTCATGACTTGTGTTTTCTGATGGCCAATTCATGGCTCATGTTTTCTGGTGGCAATTCATGGCTCATATGTTTTGGATGGCCAATTCATGGCTCGTGTTTTCTGATGGCCAATTCATGGCTCATATTTTCTGATGGCCAATTCATGGCTCATATTTTCTGGTGGCCAATTCATGGCTCATGTGTTTTGGATGGCCAATTCATGGCTCGTGTTTTCTGATGGCCAATTCATGGCTCGTGTTTTCTGATGGCCAATTCATGGCTCATGTTTTCTGATGGCCAATTCATGGCTCCTGTTTTCTGGTGGCCAATTCATGGCTCATGTGTTTTGGATGGCCAATTCATGGCTCGTGTTTTCTGATGGCCAATTCATGGCTCATGTTTTCTGATGGCCAATTCATGGCTCATGTGTTTTGGATGGCCAATTCATGGCTCATGTGTTTTGGATGGCCAATTCATGGCTCATGTTTTCTGATGGCCAATTCATGGCTCGTGTTTTCTGGTGGCCAATTCATGGCTCGTGTTTTCTGATGGCCAATTCATGGCTTGTGTTTTCTGATGGCCAATTCATGGCTCGTGTTTTCTGATGGCCAATTCATGGCTTGTGTTTTCTGATGGCCAATTCATGGCTGGTGTTTTCTGACGGCCAATTCATGGCTGGTGTTTTCTGGCGGCCAATTCATGGCTCGTGTTTTCTGGTGGCCAATTCATGGCTCGTGTTTTCTGGTGGCCAATTCATGGTTCGTGTTTTCTGGTGGCCAATTCATGGTTCGTGTTTTCTGATGGCCAATTCATGGCTCATGTTTTCTGGCGGCCAATTCATGGTTCGTGTTTTGGATGGCCAGTTCATGGCTCATGTTTTCAGGGGGCCAATTCATGGCTCATGTTTTTTGGATGGCCTATTTATGCCCTATTATGTATGGTGGCCCATTCATGGCTCGTGCCATCTGATGGCCTTTGACAAACCATAGATAATCTCTCAGTCATTTATTCTGGCTTTACCTTCCTTCCCACCGGTGTTCTGGCAGGGGTAGAATGTATCAAAGGGGTGAAATAGGTTAATACAAAAAAAATGATTATACATAGCATTGCAAGATGGATGCTTCCAGTAAAGCCAGTATTTGGGAAGGTAACAGCCCTTTTAAAGCAATTCTTTATTGGAAGCCATCACCATGCCCTGACAATACCAGTAATTAGGAAGGGAACCTTTCACTTGTGTTCACATATGTCATGGAAATTACACATTCTTATTACTCAACGTAATAGTACTTGTTTTGTCAAACTTGGAGAGGCTCAGCAGTCACTGCCAGATATTGAACCTGACACATATGTGTAACAGCATTGGATACGTGCTTTATATAAACACTCCAGGCACCACAGCCCATACAACCCACTGCTGTGGTTATGGTGCCAGGATTACCCTGGCACCTGTCCATTGTCATCGGTCAAACCATTTCTGAACAGTGTAACTTCTTACCTGGGATCTGCTGGTTGCTGCTCCCGGCCTCCAGTACTAATGTTGAGAGCCGTAGTTCTTAAGCAGGAAATCTAGGACTTAGCTCATTGGCTGAGAGCAAACAGCTCCCTAGATAGTTCAAAAACGGCATGACTACTAAAGATTGGCAGGCACCAGGGTACTTCATGCCAGCAAGCTGTAGTGGTTATGGTGCTTGGAGTATTGCTTTTGAAATAATAAGTGCCTGCTTTACCTATGTATAGTTTGAACAAATCTTTCTTAAAAACTGGAACAGGCTGTGTTTAAATTGGTCATGTCAGCGAAGAAAAAAATAACTATGAAAATCAGTGCATTTTTTGTTAAAAAATAAATCTTTAATGCCTTTTTTAGCAGACGGGGTGCAATTATTATCATTATTATTATAAAAGGAGATTTATGACATCTAGTCATAAAAGAGTTAAAACAAAGTAGAGGATTTTAATAGACGCGCAATATTAGTGTGAAAGTCACTATGCAGGGGGAATTTTCATATTCATGTAAAAATCCCCATCCTCTCCTGTTCTCAATGAGAGGCATTGGAATGGACAAAAGTCATCAAAATTAACCAGAGGAGGATTGGAGGCACAGCGAGAACACTGTCCTAGTGCTGGAATAAAGGTACGTGTTAATGGCTTTTTATTTAAAAAAAAAAAAATGTTTTAAATAGTGGACAGTCATTTAAAATAAAACAAGAACACAGATAATTAAAACATATTAAATGAAAGTGTTCGTTTAAGCAGACATTAAGAGCAAAGTAGAGAAGAGTCAGGTGTATTTGGGGAAAATATGGCACGTCAACAAAGCAACATTGAATGAAAGCATATCCAACGCTCCTGGGGCTGATGGCATTGGCTGATCTGGGATCATCGCCCGCCATTCAGGACAACAACAAAAAGCACGACTGAGCCATAGATCATATATATGTGTTACACTTTCTAATTGCACAGAGACTAAAATGACGTGTTATTCAAGGGGTAGAACCACATTGAAGTAAAGCAGTGTAATTCAGTGTTTTCTTTGTGCTATCCCTTTAAATAAAGCCACCCCAGGTAATCATAGGATAAAGTCAAAGGTAAATAAATACTAATTTAAGCTGGGAAGGGACAGAATGCAATGAGTCATAGTCAACTTCCCAAAATGATCATTTCAGTGTGTCTCCAGAAGGGGGCAGCACCTGTGTTACTCAAGATATTTGGAAGTAAACATTACAAAAAAGAGCATGGATGGCATTATTGCAAATACATTAACCCCTTAAGGACCAAACTTCTGGAATAAAAAGGAATCATGACATGTCACACATGTCATGTGTCCTTAAGGTTTTAAAATACATGTTTGATATACTATTGATGGGACAGTCCTGGCTGAATGGGACCTCCATGTTTTTAATTTATTTAATAGATATAGGTATTTAAATATTCAAAAACGTACAGTGCAGAGGAGTGTTTGGGCCAATTTGACAACCATCATTGTGCCCCTGCCTCCCTCCTTGAGCCGGTCAGGATTTTCCTGGCCCTCGAGGGACTGACTGGAGAATCTGCCAATGCCAAAATCAGCCCTGTATCTCCGGTAAGCAGGAACAATATGCTAAATGTCAAATCAAAACACAAAATGTGAATCTATCTTCACGGCAATGCTCCCAGCAGCTGATAACCCCATCTATTGGCTCCAAAGTGCAGACATTGTCTGGTCAGTAGGCACTATGCTCAGGGGCCTGGCATTACCAACTGAATCTGCACACAGAAAGTCATCTTTTTCATGTCCTGCTCATTAGAATGTTATACAATACCAGGGTTGACTATAGCTGGAAAGAGATGTTGAGGTATTCACATTGCTTTTTTGGTGTTCAGCAAGCCCTCGATAAAGGATACCTTACATTCAAGAACCACGAAAGTCACACAGACCACTTCATCTCAGTGATCTGGTTTGGCTGACTGGGGAATAGTTTGTGATCTGCACTTGGACTCTGGTCCATCCATGATCCCTTTATACTGCATGGTTTTCTGACTTTTCCACCGAACGGTTTATTCCAATCATCATAACCACTACAGCCTGCTTTTGTGGTTATGATGGTTGAAGCATCTTGGCGCAGTTCACCGGTAATGGTGCAAACCACTGGCAACAGTTTGCCCTCTTACCTGGGTCCCTGCCAGGCACCAAGTCTTCTGTTCAGCAAATTTACAACATCCCACTTTTGGGGACATCGGTGTACAAAGTTGGGATAGAGGGACATGACCTTAATATCAGGACTGTCTTGCAGAAATTGAGAATGTTAGGAGGCCTATTAATAGCAGGTTTCCTTACACCATAATTTATACATTCAGGAGATGGAGGTGGTGGGTACATCGCAGGTTGGCAACACTGACAATGTGCCTGTGTGTAAAGGGGGCATGTGACCCCAAAATGGCATGCTAGGATGACTGGTGCTATTACACTGAGCTCTGTGGACATTCTTGCATATGTGCTTAAATGTCCTGAAATTCATACAACAGCATGGAGTACTTTAACATATCGCAACAGTGCCCCAACACCAGGTGACAGAGCTGATCTGTAGGGCTATCAGAGGATGATAATATCATATTACTTGAAAACTCAGAATATTCCCTTTAACAGTCCCTTTAAAAAGGAAACCGACTGGGCTAGAGAGAAACTTTCAAATCTACCTGTCTGATGTTTTTAGCTTGCTTGGCCTATAGGGTGTCTCCCTTCTGTAGAAGAAACATCGCTTGTGGTCATACATCACCCAGGGGTCTACTTTTCCCCCTGTTTTGTAATGTGTTTACACCAACTTTTTAATATTCATTGTTAAGTAAAACTAAAACAAATTGCATACCTTACCTCTTACAACAGTCAGCTGACACATCACATTTAACCCCTTAAGGACCAAACTTCTGGAATAAAAGGGAATCATGACATGTCACACATGTCATGTGTCCTTAAGGGGTTAAAGGGCACTGTGGGCACCAATACTACTACAGCTTGTGCTAGTATTTATGAAGCAAAGAGCCTTTGGAACATTTTCCTACATATTTGCCAAGCTGCAGCAGTTGGGACAGACTGTGGGTGCCAGAAGGGTCCGGTTTATTGTCAAACTTCTCAAACTAGGGGCAACGCCCAGAGAGGCGTTACACCAGACCCACTACAATGAGCTGCAGTTAGCATAGTGTTTAGCGTGCTTCTTTAATATTTACTTAGTGAATGTTCTACTGGCACTGGAAAAAAAAGACAGTTTCAAGGTGGGGATGGGGAAACCAGTAAATAGAAGAGAGAGGATACTGGAACTATAAAAACAAAAAATGCAAACAACCCTGGTGACATTTTGTGTGCAGACTTAACATGCGAGTAGTTGGCGGCATGACGATTTAAACATTAGGTGATATTACGGACAATAACTCATAGTGTCTTGACAACCACGTTACGCAGCTTAAGGTAAAATAGCTGTAATGGAAAAATCTGTCCAGTTCGTCTATTTTGGCTTACAATTTACAGAATGCATTTTCCATAACCGTCTACAGATCATGGTAAAATATATTGTCGCTATACATGGACTTAGAAATTCCAAACAGTTCCGGAACTTTATCTGTTGAGCAATTTGTATTGTTTTTCCAAGAAAAAGAAATAGACTATGCTGCCTTTTTTTATTTTTTGCTTTGACAGCATTGTACCAGTTCAGAGAGGAACTGAGGAAGGTTTAAGGGTTATTCCAAGGACCATGATCACTTCAGTGATTTGAATTGGTCATGCTGGCTCTAGTGTGTACGTGCAGCGTTTTGTGTGTAACTCCCCCTCCTGCAGCGCCGTTAGCAATCCTGGTACAAGAGTTCTGGGCTGGTGAATGTCAATTATGTGCATATTTCTATGCACAGAAAAGTTCATTGGCTGAGAGTGATTAGCTCACACTCAACGAGCGTCATGATTGGCAGCTCTGCAGAAGCTGGATGTCATAACCCTGCTGAACAGGAGGATCCAACTAAGAGGGCACACACATGGCTGTAGCGGTTTTGATGGTTGGCGTAACCCTTTAATAAACTGTGACAACAGTATGAAACAAATATTTGCCAATATAATGGAGTGTGGAAAAATCTCCAATTTAATAAGTTTATTATTTCCTTAGAGTTTGGCAAATTTGCATAAAGTGGGAAAAACTGTATCTAACTCACACGTCAGGGCGCAGTGAACAGATATTTTACTCTTATTTAATTTCTGAAACTATTTCATTAGATCACAGAGTGTGTCTTTCTGGGTACATTCCCGGAATGTAAACAATGTGGGGGAATTTAGAGTTTTTTTCGACCTAATTAAACTGCAGAAGTTTATTTAATTCCGTCATTGATGGACTCCAACAAGGGGATTTACTGGAGAGGAATTGCAAAATATTGGCTCTGGTTCTTGACATCTTCCATTTCTATATTCAGAGGATTTAGTAAAAAAAAAAAAAAAAGATACAAGCCACTCTGTTTGGGAATATATCAAATTGATAGCAAGTAAGCTGTATATTTTAAATCACACCAGCCTCGTGATAGGACTACAACTCCTATCATTAAGCTGGTGGGATTTAAAATATACAACCGATGTAGTAGGAAAGTGAGACAACCACTTGGTACATAGACTGTAATCCCAATCATGCAACAGTGGTTGGCCGAACCTGATAAGGATATCAGTCAACAACACCATTATATGGCACATCATCATTCAATGGACCCATAAAAATTATATTGAAAAGCAGCATTTACACTAATACAGCCCTTAAAGAATTTTTTTTTTAATGTATTTATTTTTATATACAAATCTCTAAATCTCAATACAATCCCTAGTCTCTATGAGAAGCTTTGGAATAAAAATGTGTCCTCTGTGCTGAGTATACAGTTTGGTTTACTTCAGGGGGATCATGGCAAACTAATCTTATTGATTTTTTTTTGATTGGGTAACCAAAATTATAGATCAGGGTGGTGCAGTAAACATTGCTTACCTAGATTTCAGTAAGGCTTTTGACACTGTTGCACATAGAAGGCTTATCAATAAACTGCAATCTTTAAGTTTGGATTCAAATATTGTTGAATGGGTAAGGCAGAGGGTTGTAGTTAATGGAATATATTCGAAGCTTGGATTTGTCACCAGTGGGGTACCTCAGGGATCTGTACTTGGACCCATTCTCTTTAATAGCTTTATTAGTGATATTGCAGAAGGTCTTGATGGTAAGGCATGTCTTTTTGCTGATGATACTAAGATATGTAACAGAGAGCAAAAAACGGGTCGCAAGAGTATTCTGAGAACGGACAACAGCTAGAATAGCCTGCCCTTCGGTGGGTCCCCGCTCAGAACTCAAGCTGGTTTTAGCTCATCTTGTGCCATTACAGAGAGAACATTTCTGAAGCATATCAGACTGGTCCCAGCCATACGGGCAGTCCAGATCCGAAATGCCAGCAAGTTCTCTCTGCACGAGAGATACAGCAACCCCAGACGAACGTTTCAGCCTTGTTAGGCATCATCAGTGAGGCATAGCTGATATCTCTCTAGGCACCGTGAGCAAGGGGTCCACGTCTGGATTACCCTTTAAACTAATGGAGAGCAAAAAACGGGTCGCAAGAGTATTCTGAGAACGGACAACAGCTAGAATAGCCTGCCCTTTGGCCTGCCCTCACTGATGAATACAGAATATTTGATAGAGTCCTAACCTCAACATATGAGGAAAGGGATTTAGGGGTGATTATTTCTGATGACTTAAAGGTAGGCAGACAATGTAATAGAGCAGCAGGAAATGCTAGCAGAATGCTTGGTTGTATAAGGAGAGGTATTAGCAGTGGAAAGAGGGAAGTGCTCATGCCATTGTACAGAACACTGGTGAGACCTCACTTGGAGTATTGTACGCAGTACTGGAGACTAGGGATCGACAGATTATCGATTTTGCCAATATTATCAGCCGATATCCTGATTTTTTGTAAGTATCGGTATCGGCCAATAATCACCGGTAATGGCTATAATGAGGTGGGCCGGTGCGTATGGCGCTCTCTCCTGCCAGGCACTCTGTGTAGTGTGGCCGAGCGCAGCAGTGCGCACTGTGGTCCAGGAACTTATGTTTCCTGTACCTGGCCGGACTGAAAGGAAGTGCTCACTGAGAGAGCACTTCCTGTCAGTCCGGCCGGGTACAGGAGACTGAATCTCCCTTAACCCGGAAGACAAGACAGGGGGAAGTTACACTTTGGGAGAGGGGAGGGAGGGAGAGGGGGAGGAAAGAACACTATGGGACAGGGGAGGGAGGGGGAAGGAAAGAACACTATGGGACAGCTGAGGGAGTGGGAAGGAAAGAACACTATGGGACAGGGGAGGGGGAAGGAAAGAACACTTTGAGACGGGGGGGGGAAGAATGAACACTATGGGACAGGGGAGGGGGAGGAAAGAACACTATGAAACAGGGGAGGGAGGGGGGAGGAAAGAACACTGTGGGACAGGGGAGGGGGAAGGAGGAAAAACTCTATGGGACGGGGAGGGGAGGAAAGAACACTATGGGACGGCAAGGGGAGGAAAAAACGCTATGGGACAGGAGAGGGTGAGGAAAAAAAGCTATGGGACAGGGAGGGGGTGGAGTAGAGAACACTATGGGACAGAGGAGGGGAGAACACTATGGTTTAGGGGGGGAAAGGGGAAGGAGGAAAGAACACTATGGGGGGAGAACACTATGGGACAGGGGAGGGGGAAAGAACACTGAGGGGGGAGAGAGGAACATTAAGGGAGGGCACTAATGTACAGGGAAGGGACAAGGGACACTGGGGAGGAGTGGGGGCACTAAAAGGTAAGGGAGATAAACATTAAGGGGAATGGCACATATTTACACAAAAACACACTACACCCACAACACACACAAACACATTGCATCCACTACACAAAACACACACACTGCATTTACTAATCAAATACTCACACTGCATCCACTACACACACATATAAATATTCCTGAAAACATAAAAAAAATCTGACTTGCATGTATATTTTGTGCATTTACCACTTAATAAAAAAAAAAGATTTGCAAAAAAAAAATATATTTTTTTTTCAAAACAGTAAATGTACAGAATATCAGTAAGCTATCGGCCTGAAAGTTCACAGATTATCAGTATCAATATTGGTCGATCCCTACGGGGGGAAATGATAGAAACATTTAAATACATAAAGGGAATCAAGGAGGAGACTATATTTAAAAGGAGAACTACCATAACAAGGGGACATAGTCTTAAATTAGAGGGGCAAAGGTTTAAAAATAATATCAGGAAGTATTACTTTACTGAGAGGGTAGTGGATGCATGGAATAGCCTTCCAGCTGAAGTGGTAGAGGTTAACACAATGAAGGAGTTTAAGCATGCGTGGGATAGGCATAAGGCTACCCTAACTATAAGATAAGACTAGGGACTAATGAAAGTATTGAGAAAATTGGGCAGACTAGATGGTTCTTATCAAACGTCACATTCCATGTTTCTGTGTTTGTAAAAATTTTAGTAAACAATTCATTATATGCATTAAAAGCATTATACATTATATTTATGCATTTTGGACATAGAGTCAGTGTCCCTTTAATAGAATTGAATTAGAGCGTTTCTGGACTTTAATGATGATCACTAACTACTCAGCAAAAAATAAAAATAAATGTGCAGGTAGAGGAATTTCTGTATGTCAAAGATTGTAAACTGATGATATTCACATAAATGCACAAAAAATTCCTTTTGAAAAATTCTATGGCTAAAATGGGTATTTCAGCAAATACACAAACCAAGTGTTTCCACCTACAGACAGTCTGCTTAGATCCTGTTAGAAATGATCAGTAGGGTGTTTAAACAAAGGAGGCATTTTGTAGCTTTATTCAGTAATTTTATTAAATATCTACTTAATATTTACCAGAAGCAGAAAAGGGCATTGTAAGTAGCAAAGTGACAAAATTCCTCCAACCTACAGTTCATAGCAAGCAAAACCCTTATTTAATCACATTTTATTAAAACTGAAACCCTTTAATATTTGTCAAAATAGCTGAAAGCAGACTCATCATCGCTGGAATTATTGTGAATTTTCAACAATTCAGCAATTTTGTTGTAAAATCTGACTCTGGTCAGTTTCTCCACGATATCTAGATTCCTGGTATATATCAAATAAGAATATCAAGGTTAACCGTAATGGTGAGATGCTGGTATTTATAAATAAAATGTACACATTAAAGGGAAACTTTAGGTTCAGAATTAAGTTGTTATGGTGCCTGGTGAAGGGTTAAACCATTCGTGAACGTACATATTTTTCAAAAGCCATTTTTATGAACGGGGAGCTACTGGTTGACTTAGAGCGTCAGCTGACATTCTCAGAGCTGGAGAGAATACTTTGGCTCATAATGTTTGTGACCTCCTAACATCATAAAAACATCATTCCGATGAAGTCATTATGGTACCCAGAGTGTTCATTTAAATTATAGATTTAATTTGGGGGAGGGGGCTTAAATATTTGATCTTCAAGGTTTTTCTCAATGGGAATAGAAACGTCTAAACCAGGGGCAGGCAACCTTCGGCACTCCTGAAATTGTGGACTACAACTCCCTCAATGCTATTACAGCCATTATGATAGCAAAGCCTTAAGGGAGATTTAGTCTACAACATCTGGGGTGCCGAAGCTATATGTGAATAGTAGCTGTGTCAATCCTGATATGCAGAATATTTCGAGGTATGGATTATAATGGATGCTACGTAATAAAAGTGGCCACACTGTGTTTAATTGTCATTTAATTCGTTTTTATTTGCACCCAGTCCATGCCAAATAATTCCACTGTGCTCCTGTGTCATCAATCATTCGTCTGCTTTTCTAAGCTGGTTTTGGGCTAGATGTTTTGTGCTATCAATATAGAAAAAAATCAACATGGTTTATCCCCAACGAATTTACTGGGTTATTCACCAAAGTGAGAAGTTAAAGTGCATTCAAAGTTAATTTCAAATTTAAGGTGAAAATAGTCACTGGAAAAATTATACGAGTCAGCTATGTTTTCATTTCAGCTAGTCTGGCCTGAGACTCACTTTGAATTCTCTCGTCTTAGTAAATAATCCTTACTCTGCCAATGTGTTTTTCTGGGGGGGGGTTTGTGAAGCAAAGAAATTCTGTTTTATACTTAAGGAAATGGTAAATGTGCATTAAAAATATATATATTTGAGAAGCCAAGTATATCTGCTCGATGTGTTCTGAATTTTAACTGATGTATTGTAACTCCGATATGCCAGTGTTAGTCATCACCGCCACAAGGGATCGAATTATAGGGTCATAAATATTGCTAGAAAGTAAATATGGAGCAACATTTCTAAAGGAATAGAAATAAAATATTAATAGAAAATAATACCCTAAAGGTATTGTGGAAAATAAACAAGATGTTTTCTGACATCATATGGTTCCAGCTCTCATACAGCAACTGCTGGAAAATCCAAGGAATATTTTTTTTCCATAACAATGCATGTACAGAAAGAGATAACAAATTAATTATAATGCGCACTGACAAACAGTGACGCAAATCTGTTTATAGCTGGAGCCATTTTTAGAAAAGCGTTAGAGAGAAATGTAAGATCTGCAGCGTGTAAGGCTAAAGCTGAAGGACGCCTCCACTTGGAAATTGCACACAATATACAATAACCAGTCTTGGATCACCTTGGCTCTGCAGGCTGGAGCATTGCTGAGCATCATGGGAAATTTCACAGAGAGACAACATGCATGTCTAATCGCTCTTTTTATTAATTGCTTTTTAATTATCTGTGTTTAGTAGATATATCTCCAACGGAAACTTGCATGAATTTAATTAAGCAATTTTTACATTGGGTTATATCGTAACACAGTTTTGCAAAGCTACAGATCTCTTGTCTGCAGCCTTTGCAAGCCCTCCCCTTCTAACCCCGCCAAGACTTTCTGTGGCTGTCCAATCACAGACATCCCAATGCAGCTTAATGAGAAGCCTTTGCAACGGCTCTGGGCCGTTGCTGCCTCTTAAGTTTAGTTCTACTGAGCTAACCAAACCAGGAAGTAACAGGATCGGTTGTCTGATTGACAGCCAGAGGGTGTAACAAGGTTCATCTCAGTCACTCAGACAAACACTAGATATGCTTACTGGCCCAGTGCTGCACAATGCTCTGCTTGGAGACGCTGAACCCTCCCCATAGAGGTGTACTGAGTCAAAGCGTCTCTATGAGCAGTTGCTGATTGGCGCAGAGCAACGTATTGCTGTGCATGCAAAATAGCCTCTCAATGCTTTCCTATGGGAAAGCATTGGATTGGCTGAGATAATCAAGTTTGATGATCTCAGTCAAGGGGGCAGGGCATGAGTGGGACCAGCCATGACCAAACCCTTGTGGCACTGTAAAAAAGTAAATAAATCACCTTTTTAACCAGAGGCAAGGAGGAGAGGCCGTTGGACTAAACAGCTATTTAGACTTATGGTGTCACGAATACATGTTTGCGTTCCTGACACTATAGTGTTCCTTTAACTTTAATTTTTAAAAGCAAAAGGGGCGATGGACAGAAGGGAACCAGGGAACCTATAATCCCAAAATAACAATAATTTTCAGGACTATAGGTTAACTTTAAATTCCGCTAAATGCGAATAAAATAATATATATTTTCTGCTCTTCATATCAAAGAACTGAAGTTGTTTCCAGCAGGACACAGTTTGTGAAACAAGAGCAGCTGAGGATAGAGAGGAATCGAGATTATGTTGTTACCACTATGATACTTTTTATCCATGCTCTGTTACGTTTTGTTCAGTTTTTACATATAATAACATAGTAAATTAAAAATGTATTGTGCGCTATTTTCATAACCTTTGCAGTAATTATGAAGCAGCATTTATATTACGTGCTGTTTTCTGTACCTGCCTGGCTGACAGCTGATTAGACGTACACTGGGGCTGCAGCATGTGCTGGATTATTTTATAAATTCAGGACTCAGGAACGTTGCTTTACGGCCACCACACTGGGAGTCCACCAGCTCTCCTTCCATATCAACATTGGGAATGTAATTAAACTCGGTGTCTGAGTGTCTGTCTGAGTGTGATTGTATACAGACAAGATGAAGAAGAAAATAGACTGTAACAAGAGCTATACACACTATTCTCAAACTATTATGAGGTCTGCTTAAAAAGAACTTTAGCTTCTACTTTTTAAACTTTTGTGGCTTCTTCAAAGACCGCTTCAATTCCAAGACGTGGTCGTGCGCAGTCGTCCTGTCCTTTTAACCTTGCAATATAAAACAATGTCTTTGAGACAGCCGCTAGAGGTGCTTCTACAACAACTGAGTGAAACTCTGTCACATGATGTTGCAGTTCATAGTAAAGCATTGAATGCTTTCCTGCGAGAAGTATCTGGAGCTCGGTGCACATGCGCAGAAGTTCCCAGTACTCCTCTATGAAGAGCACTGGATTGGCCATTGAGAGCTGGATGACACCACGGGAGGTGTAGCGGCCAGGAGCTCAGAGGACCTCTCATTGCAGGAGAAAAGGCAGGTAATGACCTGTTTTTTAGGTTTTTACTGAAAACATCAGTTCCTATAGTTTTCAGATTGCCTGGTACTCCACTGACTGTGTAAAAAACACCACCACCACTCAACACAAGGATAAAGTGATGCCAAGGGCATAGAAGTAAGGTTTAGGCAACATCTTTTCACGTCCTCACACTTCCCCTGGCTTACTTCGCTGCATCTCCCTCTCTCCTCGTGGAGACACCAGCCTTTGCGGAGTGTCGGCCCAACCAATTTGACACCCGCAAACTGGTAGCGAGTCTGCTTCAGTAGTGGTGCCGCATTCTACTCGTGGTCCGGGAAGGGCTTCCACAGTTTGGCATGGTGGCAGGATCTGGCCTTCCTGGGAGTTCACACGGTGGGAAGGTACTTTCTTAAAGGGGCAGGAGGTGTGTCAGGAGCCCAGGGATGATGTGGAGTGGACGTATCTCTTCACACATATTTAACAAGCTGTCTCCTAGTCCTCTTAGCTCAGTTGTACTTGCTTATTGTGGGTTTCACTTAAGTGTGCCCATCCTCTGTTATTTGATTACCCGGTATCTGACCCTATGCTTGTTATATTTCTTCAGAGTAAGATCACATTTTGGCTGACACCTTGGTCCCCACGTGCATGCATGCATCTCGCACAATGTTACGTGCACGTATAACGGACTGTGAACGCGTGTGCACCTGGTTGCATGTGCAGGGATGAAGCTGTCAGTTGGTTTGTGAGGGAGGGAGGGGAGTAGAGCGTGCCAGTCACTTTCCTTAGTTCAGAGGAGCTAACGGAAGTAGGAAGGAATCCTGTGGCTGTTTGATTGACAGCCAGTGGGGAGGTCCATATTGCTGATTTCTCCGACTGGGGTTAAATGAGGATACTCCTCGCCATAAAGCACTTTGGCTTTGCTTTTGGGATGTGGAGTGGTCCTTTAATGTAGCTGTTCTGGTGTCTACACTCAGGCCGTCCCTGAAGACTTTGTAACGTAAACACTGCCTTCTCAGAGGGACCTGAGACAAGGGGGGAGGGGTGGGGGATCACTGAGACAAGGGGGGGGGTCACTGAGACAAGGGGAGAAGGGGGGTCACTGAGACCAGGGGGGAGGGATGGGTCACTGAGATAAGGGGGGCACTAGTAGGAAGAGGAGAGCTCTAACAGTGACATCACTTCCTGTCAGAGTGCTCTGTGTGGGGGGCTATGTTGTCACTTCCTGTTGGAGTGCTCAGTGTGGGAGGGGCTATGTTGTCACTTCCTGTCGGAGTGCTCAGTGTGGGCGGGCTATGTTGTCACTTCCTGTCGGAGTGCTCAGTGTGGGCGGGCTATGTTGTCACTTCCTGTCGGAGTGCTCAGTGTGGGAGGGGCTATGTTGTCACTTCCTGTCGGAGTGCTCAGTGTGGGAGGGGCTATGTTGTCACTTCCTGTCGGAGTGCTCAGTGTGGAGGGGCTATGTTGTCACTTCCTGTCGGAGTGCTCAGTGTGGAAGGGGCTATGTTGTCACTTCCTGTCGGAGTGCTCAGTGTGGGAGGGGCTATGTTGTCACTTCCTGTCGGAGTGCTCAGTGTGGGAGGGGCTATGTTGTCACTTCCTGTCGGAGTGCTCAGTGTGGGAGGGGCTATGTTGTCACTTCCTGTCGGAGTGCTCAGTGTGGAAGGGGCTATGTTGTCACTTCCTGTCGGAGTGCTCAGTGTGGGAGGGGCTATGTTGTCACTTCCTGTCGGAGTGCTCAGTGTGGGAGGGGCTATGTTGTCACTTCCTGTCGGAGTGCTCAGTGTGGGAGGGGCTATGTTGTCACTTCCTGTTGGGGTGCTAGGTGTATCTTGATGTCACTTCCTGTGTCACTGACATTGCTCCCCCACCTATTTCCTGTTTGTCTGAGAGACACTCACAGGAGGCTGATAATGAAGACTTATGGTAGTGAGTGAATTTACTCTGATAGGGAAAGGGGAGAGTGAGTGCTTACTGAGTGTGAGTGCAGAGAAAGAGAGAGTGAGTGCTGCCTGAGTGTGACTGCAGGGAAGGGGAGAGTGAGTGCTGTGTGAGTGCAGGCAAGGAGAAAGCAAGTGCTGTCTGAGTGTGAGTGCAGGCAAGGAGAAAGCAAGTGCTGTCTGAGTGTGAGTGCAGGCAAGGAGAGAGCGAGTGCTGCCTGAGTGTGAGTGCAGGCAAGGAGAGAGCGAGTGCTGCCTGAGTGTGAGTGCAGGCAAGGAGAGAGCGAGTGCTGCCTGAGTGTGAGTGCAGGCAAGGAGAGAGCGAGTGCTGCCTGAGTGTGAGTGCAGGCAAGGAGAGAGCGAGTGCTGCCTGAGTGTGAGTGCAGGCAAGGAGAGAGCGAGTGCTGCCTGAGTGTGAGTGCAGGCAAGGAGAGAGCGAGTGCTGCCTGAGTGTGAGTGCAGGCAAGGAGAGAGCGAGTGCTGGCTGAGTGTGAGTGCAGGCAAGGAGAGAGCGAGTGCTGCCTGAGTGTGAGTGCAGGCAAGGAGAGAGCGAGTGCTGCCTGAGTGTGAGTGCAGGCAAGGAGAGAACGAGTGCTGCCTGAATGTGAGTGCAGGCAAGGAGAAAGCGAGTGCTGCCTGAGTGTGAGTGCAGGCAAGGAGAGAGCGAGTGCTGCCTGAGTGTGAGTGCAGGCAAGGAGAGCGCGAGTGCTGCCTGAGTGTGAGTGCAGGCAAGGAGAGAGCGAGTGCTGCCTGAGTGTGAGTGCAGGCAAGGAGAAAGCGAGTGCTGCCTGAGTGTGAGTGCAGGCAAGGAGAGAACGAGTGCTGCCTGAGTGTGAGTGCAGGCAAGGAGAAAGCGAGTGCTGCCTGAGTGTGAGTGCAGGGAAGGAGAGAGCGAGTGCTGTGAGTGTGCAGGGAAGGAGAGAGCGAGTACTGTGAGTGTGCAGGGAAGGAGAGAGCGAGTGCTGTGTGAGTGCAGGGAAGGAGAGAGCGAGTGCTGTGTGAGTGCAGGGAAGGAGAGAGCGAGTGCTGCCTGAGTCTGAGTGCAGGCAAGGAGAGAGCGAGTGCTGCCTGAGTCTGAGTGCAGGCAAGGAGAGAGTGAATGCAGGCAAGGAGAGAGCGAGTGCTGCCTGAGTGTGAGTGCAGGCAAGGAGAGAGCGAGTGCTGTGTGAGTGCAGGCAAGGAGAGAGCGAGTGCTGCCTGAGTGTGAGTGCAGGCAAGGAGAGAGCGAGTGCTGCCTGAGTGTGAGTGCAGAGAAGGAGAGAGTGATGTCCGCTGTGAGAGTAAACATTTTTAGTTCCTGTTAAGACATCAGTTACACTTTCTGAGCTCTTATCCTTCCTTGCTTTAGGAAAGTAATACATTGCTCACAGCAAACCATGGGCCGGAACTGCTCATTGACTCCATACTGGCATTATAAAGGCAGTTTCAGAGCCAGTGGGATTGGACAGAGACTGGTTCTCTATTGCTGGGGATAGGGGTTTGGTAGTAGGCCTGGGGTGACGTATCTGTTATCACATCCCTGATTCTCATATCATACACAGTATATGTGCTGTCAATTAATATCAGATGCTGGGAACAATGATTGTGCTTGGCTATGCGACAGATCTAAGATCTGCCTGAAAGTTTAATTTTAAATCAGTGATGTTAATGGTAACAGTCTCAGAATGAATTGTACACTGATTTCTTAATGCTAGTCATGGCCTAAGACAGTTCCTGACAGAACGGGAACCCAAAATGTGCAAAGATGGGACAGCTGGCAATGATGTCTTAAACCTAGATAAAATACTGTATCTTTAACTAGCACAACATATCCAGGATTGGACAATCCTCACATCTGAAGGAATTAACACAGACTAACAGGGTTATCCACTAAAGTGAGGATTCGAAGTGAATTTAAAATTTAAGGTCAAAGTAGCTGAATTGGAAGAATTCTCTAAGCTAGTTGTGCTTCCATTTTGTATACTTTTGACTTTGAATTCTATGGAGTATTTCACAAGACCGCAGGATCATCCATAGATAGAGCTTCTTGATCAGTGTCCGGCGTAGGAAAAATACTGAGACAAAGTAGTCCCTATTTTATCTCCGTATATCTTTTGATTGGATTGGAATTTCAGTGATATTTCAACATGGTCAGTATAGTATTTCATAATAATTTTATCATTATCTCCTTTTGTGGGGCCATTGGGGTGACGGTACTGCTTAAAAGTAAATTTCAAAACTGAAGTCAAATTAACCAAATTGGAGATATTCTCTAAATCGTCTGTGCTTCAGGATTAGCTACTTGGGCCTTAAAGGACCACTATAGGCACCCAGACCACTTCAGCTCAATGAAGTGGTCTGGGTGCCAGGTCCCCCAGGTTTTAACTCTGCAACTGTAAACATAGCAGTTTCAGATAAACTGCTATGTTTACACTGAGGGTTAATCCAGCCGCTAGATGCCGCTTCCGCGATTTTCACAGTGAGAAGACGCTGACGTCCATAGGAAAGCATTGAGTACTTGCCATGCATTCGGAGCTGACGTCAGCAGGAGGAGGAGAGTTCCCCAGTGCCGAGGGAGCCCAGCGCTGGAGAAAGGTAAGTGGCTGAAGGGGTTTTAACCCCTTCAGCCCAGCGGGAGGGGGGCCATGAGGGTGGGGGGGAACCTAAGGACTACATATCACTATAGTGGTCCTTTAAAGTTGCTTTAACCAGGTACACATACCACATTTCACCATGGTTGAGTCACCCTTCATTTTGTAGGTTAAATTACATTTCTCCATGATAAGGTTGACAGGTCCAGTGGGTTGGCCATTTGTCTGCTTATTAGCAGCTGTGGGTCCTTCAGGTTTTTGAATTGAATGTTGCATTTTTCAATTCTTTACCAGCTATTTATCGCAGGCATCCAGAAACCCACGTTCTCCATATGTGCTGAAGCTACTGAACAGGATATCCTGTGCAATTAAATACAATTAACACGTTAAGCACCAAATGCCACATTATATTAATGCAAGCTTCTAGCTGTATTCCCGGTGTCAAAAATTGAATATGACTTATTTAGCTTGGCTGCTGTGTACAGAACTGGTACAGTGCCCGATCATTAAATAGCAGATTATTATGACAGCATTGACATAGTAATTATTACTTAAAGGACCACTATAGGCACCCAGACCACTTCAGCTTAATGAAGTGGTCTGGGTGCCTGGTCCAGCTAGGGTTAACCCTTTTTTTTTTTTTTTTTATAAACATAGCAGTTTCAGAGAAACTGCTATGTTTACACTGAGGGTTAATCCAGCCTCTAGTGGCTGTCTCATTGACAGCCGCTAGAGGCGTTTGCGTGCTTCTCACCGTGAAAATCACAGTGAGAAGACGCCAGCGTCCATAAGAAAGCATTGTAAATGCTTTACTATGAACTGGCTGAATGCGCGCGTGGCTCCTGACGCGCATGCGCATTCAGCCGATGGCGTTGCTAGGAAGGAGGAGAGGAGGAAAGCTCTCCGCCTTGCGCTGGAGAAATGTAAGATTTTAACCTCTTCCTCTCCCCAGAGTCCGGCGGGAGGGGGACCCTGAGGGTTGGGGCATCCTCAGGGCACTATAGGTCTGCTCACGCTGTTCGCTGTAATTGTAAATGGATTGTATTTTACTACACTCCGCAAGAAAATGGGTAAACATAAACTAATAGTCTTTACAGTTTTAGACATCTTTAGCACCCAAGGGCGCTGTTTGGGTCCAATCTTAGCACAGTTACATTGATGTTCGCAAAGGAGGTTTAGCTGTCTGATCTTGTTTATTACTGCGAGAACTATATTTAAATCTATATAATTTGGTGACATTGTAACTGTCATGCAGTGAGTCATGATGTCACTTTGCCAGTAATGAGCATCAGTGACATGTGCATCTGTACAGAGGAAACAGAAAGGAGAAGTAGCTTAAGGAAGAAACTTTAAAATAAAACTCAGATACTCCTACAGCCTGTTACCACGCTGTGTAAAGCATTCAAAATAATGTTTTAAGGGATGGGGGGGTTTTTTGTGGTTTTTTTTTTTTTGAATGAGCTGATTTTGCTGTTGCAACGTGTTGGATGTAACGTTAGCCAAATACTTGCTTCATAGGTTGGATGGGGTAGAGGTTTAAACATGTTATGTTTGCATCAGGTAACAATTTAACAGTGATTTTCTTTTTTCCATTACTGTGTGTGTGTGTGTGTATACATGTACAAGAGCTGCGGGATAAGTTGGCACCATATAAAGGCCAATAATAATAATATTATACACTAAAGCCGTTTATAGTATGTTGCAGTTTGTTCTGTTAAGTAACAGGACACCAGAAGGATAAATGTTCTGTGGGCAGTGTGTGTTGGATCACGTCATGGCATTCTTTATTTCTGGACATGGGTAACAAAGAGGAAGGGAGAAAGCCCCGGTGTCGGGCAGGAGAGAGAGTGACAGAACAGCCAGTAGGCACGTAATTCCTTATCATCCTCTTTCCATTCTACGAGTATAGGCATATAGTTTAATGGGAGAGTTAGTATTCTTCATTAATGAACACTTCTGCACATAAACGCAGAGTAATATAAATAATGTCGTGCAAAAGATCCAGATCACTCTTGGCAACAGGACAATTCTGGTTTAATGTAGTGCTTCAGGTGCAATGAGACTATCGCTGAAGTCTTGGCAAAGTAAGCACTCTCTCATCTGAGAAATCAGACTTGCGGCTGGCTTGAGTTCTCAGTCCCTTCTCGAGGTTCATATTAGGACAGTTCTTTTACCGGGTGGGTGGCTAGCCTCTTGGGTGCTCTGTTTGGTTTTGCCAGCAAGGTAAATGGGAAGTCCACAGAATGGTGAAAATAGTTTTTGTTTTTTTCGTTTTTGAGGTCCTTTGTAACACACACTCACTATTTGTGCATGTTTGTGTTTCTAACAGACCATTCCTGAAATGTATTTTTATTTATCGGCATGATCTTTGGCTATGTAGATACCTAGTGAGGAACACTGTGTGCCTGGAGGCTGACAATTGGCCTACATACACAGAGCCATTGAATAAAGTGCCCAGGTTTGGTTGTATATGTGATAATAAAATATCAGAATAAATGAAGATCCTATTAAGTTCTGGCAATCACTTTTTGAGGCTTTTAACTTTTCTAGGTAATAAGGTAGAAGCAATCAAAATCTACCATAGTTTCACACCGGAAAAGAAACCTAAAACATGCACTAGTTTTGTGAAAATCTGCTTTGTTGTGATGGAAACGGCAACTAATTTACATTTTGTGGCATCTTAAATCACTTTACAGGATCTTTACCACTTCAAATAGACAGGAAACAAGTCAAAATGGCCCAGTTTCCGAGCTGATGCAACATGTCTAAAGACATATCATTATATAGCAGACATCCTCCTGAATGTCAGGGATTGCCACCAAGCCGAACGGCCAGTGGACCTGCTCCAATTGATCAGCACCCAGCCTTTGGCATTATTTTAACTTCGACTTTTAGTGAATTTACCAAATTTAGTGTTAAATTAGACTGCAGGTTTTTGACTGTCAACATCACCATTTTGTCTGAAATGCCCTACCAATGAACTGCAATGAACCTCTTGGCACTTTAACTTCAGTTATGGATAATTTTCAGGCACCTCTTGATGCTGTGTCCGTTATCACCGTTTTCCAAAGCCCATCCATCTTCTCATTTGGATGTCAGCAGGTGGCTGCTTGCCATGCATTTACTAGTTTTTCAGCGCTGCAATGCTTGCCAATTTTATAAATTTCTTATGTCAGACTCATTTGTGGACTCAGGAGTAGCCTATCTTGTGGCAGCTGATCCTCGCAGAAAGCAAATCTCTTAACTCAGAATCTAAACTCAGAACCCGGTCTGTTACCTACACTGGGATAGCTCTTTGTTTCTAGAATGGGATTGAACACCACCCAATCAGCCTTCCTTGTAACAACCACCTGTCGTCATGGCGTTTGGGGAAACAAAACAAAGTGTGTCCTTATGCCTAAGCACCTAAACAAAAACCCCCCAAAAAACCTAATTTTTCTTTTAGATGTAAAACTAGGAAGTGTTAACTCCTCCTTTGTCATCCAAATCTTTGTTGTGCATCCACTCGGTGCTTCCGATCAGAGGTGGCTATCCCAAATTAACTGAAAGTAAAGTTTTGACTGGGCTGTGACAGTCCTAAGATCTCGGGACCTAGTCACGTGTTCTTAGAGGGGCCTGCTGGCCAGCCTCTTACCAAAAGACTATGGGCCATTTAAAAAATATGTGAACAGACTTGGTTCGTGGGATTTTATATTTGGTTCGGGAACCGAACAGCCGCACGAACCGGAGACCACCCTGGAGCTTGTTAAGCTTGTTAAGCCTAATTGCTACTATGTAGTGTTCTAAGTGTTCATCTGGGTGGCCGCAATTCCTATGGACGACCATGAGGTGGCGGCCATCTTGTTCGTATGAACGCAGGCAGCGGTGTTTGGGCATGAATCTCAAGGAACTGAAAATGGACACAGAAACTCCCGAACGCCGCTGGACTTCCAGCATCGCCTGCTTTCGGTTCCACAACACTTAGAAAGCGCTGTCCAGTGGCAGGGTAAGACTATTGACTATTTTCGGTAGTTTGTTTGTTTTTAAACTACCGAACAAGACCGACTGCAAGCCCTGATTCTCTGGAACTGTTTTGGGCATGGGACCATGCGGGCGTGCGGTCAAAATTAAGACTTCCAGGAAATTCCTGAACCCCTGAACTGATCTGGGTGATTTTTGGATATATTGGTCACCCTGATCAGGGCTATAAGAGGATGTGGGGTTTTTATGTATTTTTAGGGTACTTTTGGGGTGTTTGGGGAAAAAATGGGTTTTTCTTTGCTTGGAGATAATTGGATCCAATTATCTTTCAGGCACTAAAGAGGGATTATCTGATTATTTTTTTTGATTTTTTTTTTTTTTTTTAAATTTTTTTTTTTTTTTGTACAGAAAGGAGTTACACACATGCCTGAGGTACCCCAACAGCATTCCTCAGGCTGACCATCACGTATCACAGTTGTGTAACAGATGAGACTGGCACATTTTTAGAAGATGAGAGTAAAGGAGGTAATCATGTCAGTACACAAATTATTAAACATACTAGATGTCAGGTCACAAGAGTAAGAACAAGTATCTTAGGGATTATCTGATTTTCTATGGAAGTGTCCTTGACCTGAGAGCCAATGTGATTGTGTATTTATTTCTACTGTGGTTTACTTTCAGGTCCAGGGGGGAGTGCCCCTTGCTTGGGGACTGTCATAAAAGGCCATTTGTGGCTATCATTAAACTGAGATTTGTTTTACCCTTATGAAGTCTAGGCTCATGTTTGGGGGATTGGAGAGCTATCTTCACTCTGGGGATTGCTATAATCCCTATACTCCCTTGGATCACGACGATTGCTTATGTAAGAGCAGCCTGCTTCGCTCTGTGGACTAGGAGAAGTCTACCCACTGGAAGCTGGATCCTGGTCTTGGGTCCAGGATGGATGGAATACAGAGAGACCCCAACCAAGCTTTGTGTGGTTTACAGTGGTTATGGTGTTCCAGTGCGGTGCTTATGGTGCTCACGAGTACTAGGACGCAGCGATTGACGGAGGTACTCGGTCGAGGAGCCAGGCAGTCTGTCACATTACCATTCCAAACCATTGAGAACGGCTGCTCCATATACCTCATTGAGCAGGGCCCTCCGCCTCTCTGTTCCTGTACGTCCAGTTGTCTGGTTACAATTACATGTCTGTTAATCCACCCATTGTACAGCGCTATGGAATCTGATGGCGCTATATAAATAATAACATACCATAAATCTGTGCTTGACATGGCTTAATGGGAAAACCCTTAGACTAGAATGAGAGGCCTCTGATTGGTTTAGCCTTTTCCTGGTCTGGGAAGTGCTTGCAGCCTTGCTGCTTATGTGCTGAAATATTTATATAATTAAGTTCTAGTTCCTTAAATGAGTATCTACAATCTGTCCCAAACCAGGTAATATACAGTTATAGACTGTGTATTAAACTCGGCAGGGCCTCACGTACCCAGCGATCTTGACAATTTCTAATGCTTTCTATAACTTAATACTAAAAACAGAGCAGTCTATGCAGCCAATCTAAGAAGTGGACAATGTGAGTCTTTTTGCTTATAACCTATGGTTCATATATACCAGCACTACACCTTATGTATCCCTGCTGGTTTAATTAGAGTGGGGGCACCATAAAATATTTCCTGTTACATTAAAGGACTATTCCAAATACCATAGCCACTACTGCCTGTTAAACTGGTTACTGTGCCAGGAGTTCCCCGGTGCTGTCCCACAGTAAGTAGTTGAACCTTTTTTAGTGCGGTTTGACAGCTTACCTGGGTCCCAGTGGAATGTAGTGCGTATGGTGCCAGGAGTTCCCCGGTGCTGTCCCACAGTAAGTAGTTGAACCATTTTTAGTGCGGTTTGACAGCTTACCTGGGTCTCAGTGGAATGTAGTGGTTATGGTGCCAGGAATTCCCCGGTGCTGTCCCACTGTGAGTAGTCGGTTTTATGCCATTTGAGAGAGCCTATATTGGTGAAACACGTAATGGTTATTTTATATTGTGTATTTTTAGATCATTAACCCCTTCAGGACGGAGTCAATAGTACACGTTCTGATCAAAACAAAATGTAAACAAAAACTGGAATTTGCGCTATATGTCTGTTCAACCGTAATTCACCACTGTCACTTTAGTGCACCCACACTTATTATATATCATTTTGTTCAGGAGAAACAGGGCTTTAATTTATCATTAACTATTCATATATGGAACATAATTTATTATGCATAAAATTTTATAAAACGGGAGAAAATTTGATTTTTTTTTTATTTTTTTTTAAATTTGTATTTCCGTCTGACATTTTAGCTGTGGGGGCTAGCTTAATGTGTGTCAGGGACGACCTAAAAGAGGCTTACCCTCACTTAACGTGTTGATTGCAAAAGAAAGGATTCCAGGGGGAAACACCACCCCTGGAGTCACAAGATAGGAAGTCCCTCAAAAGTCCACATGTGTGTAGTTAAAACATAACTTTTATTGACCACTATAAATAAAACTATAAATAATGAAAAAAACAAAAAATAAAGCTAAAAGGAAGGAAATATAATGAAAAAAATGATAATGAAAAAAATCACTTATACATAGGAGAGTTACCCTAAAACTATAGTCACCGAAGGAGCCAATACCATCATGGGAAATAACTCCTATCCTATATACAAGTGCCGTAATGAGAAATAGTAGGACAGGCTAACGTGCATTGGGGGTACAAAACCTATATGAATAACGCATGTAGATAAAAAATCTACAGCTACCCAAATGCCTCTACTAGGATCCTATATCCTTAGATTATCAGAGGTCGTTCTATCCTACTAAATGTGGTTTGAGTGAATTGCTAAAAGTCACCAAAGGAAAGTAGCAACCAATAGATACAAATAGCAAAACATCTCATAATGTATTTCTTTTAGCTCTATTTTTTTTTGTTTTTTTCATTATTTATCTTTTGATCTTGATCTTTTGTTCTAGTGAGACTTTTGGGACTATTTTATGTTACTTTATTGGCGCAGCCTTACTTCATCTTTTTGTATGGTTTGACAGCTTTCCTGGGTCCCAGTGGAATGTAGTGGTTATGGTGCCAGGAGTTCCCCGGTGCTGTCCCACAGTAAGTAGTTGAACCATTTTTAGTTACCTGGGTCCAGGTGTGCTGTAGTGGTTATGGTGCTTGGAGCGTTTCTTTAAAACAGGAGCAAATTGTATGTAAGTGTCTAGCAGTCAAGATATCTGTGTGCTTTCAACTAACACTGAACTAAAGGTCGCCTCTAATCTATCTCTCATGTAACATTTGTGCACCTTTTACAAATGAATGAACAGGTCAAGGGGAGATGACACATTGTTTACATAATTTTGGGTTATTTGTAAAGAGTGTGTGAGCCAAGTTCTAAAAATTGAGTTGTTGCCGTCAAAAGCTGCGGAATGTTTTTTGATTGCTCTACTGTTTAGAACAAAACCCCAGAATTTTTATATATATATATATATATATTATTCCTGATACGTTTCTTGTTATTGTAACTGGCTACATTTATTGTATTATCGGATATAGCGGGATTCCTTTACCCCCGTACATTCAGAGAGATACCTGGGGTGCCTTTCTTTGTATACTCCCTCCTGTTTGTGACATAATAAATCTCGGTGTCCCTTGTTGGTAATGCCACCAGCAGATTGGCTTGCAGTATTTTAGAAAGCTGAAGCATGGTGCAGTGTTTGCATATTTTGGTAATCTAAGGATTTTACTCCTGGTACAGCTATGTGTGGGGACTTTGTCTCCAGAGCCCCAGAGCGGTGGTCTGTATTCTGTAAATTCCCAAGACTTTCTGCACGCAGCTGGTTATGTCACAAGGTTGAGCTATTGGCCATTTCTCTTCTCTTTAATTTGTTTTTTGGATTTTTTCCATACCCCAGGCTATTCTGCTGAGATGTTTTACAGGCCTAGGCCTGTCTTTGACCCATGTTTGAGATAACTAGACCCCCTGCTTGTTATGAATTTCTGACACCGCATATCTTTATTTAACCCCTATGGCTCCCCCCTGCACTCTTTAACATCATGTTTGGAAATGGATTCTCTCCTCATATTGGCTCATCCATGAATAGCCAACTGCCTACAGACACCCATCACCCTGCTATATAATTATCCAGAGCAAAAATATAAACAGACACAGTCCGTATGAGAAAGGTAGATTCTAATTCACTTTTAATGTGAAATTTGTAATAGCCATGTGGTTTTTTTCTTGTGAAAATATGGCTGAAGCAAAGTCTATCATTAAAGATCCAACTTGGTCAATCTTTCTATTGCTCAGTCCTTGGACACTCGGCAAAGAACAATTAATTCTAGGAGACTGTTATCATACAAATTCATTCAAACATTCTCAAAAAAATAAATAAAAAAATATACAAATAGCCAGACACCAGATGGGAGGCAACAGTACCCCCATGTTATAGGTGAACGCTATTTACCATGATTTATAATACTATGCAAGCAGGCCCCCGTCTAATCCCTGGGCCCTAGGCAGCTGCCTAGAGTTGCCTTATGGTTAATCCTGGTCTGCAGGTGGGCAGTTCATTATAACAGAAGGGAGCTTGGGAATGTGTTTCCTACTGTACCCATGGCCATTGCTATGTGAAGTAGATAGCTTTGGCAAATGATAATTCGGTGGGGGAGATGCTCACAGGCGTAGAGGGTGTTAATGTGCTGGGCCAGGTGTGAATGGGATTTTGACTGGGGGGGTTGGGAGGGATGTGCGACATTGTCCTCCAAACCATTGCTTGTGTGCTGCTTCTGCACAATAGTGAGCACAATAAATACAAAGGAAAGGCTAATTATTGACTTGCGATTCTTAGTTGAAGCTCTGTGGCGCTGGTCCCTGTATTCTGAAATTCCAGTTAAATAAATAGTCATTGTGGAAATCTGGGCGCTCTCAAGCAGATACTTTAAAATGTTCTCCTGAAAAAGTGCTGTTTATGAAAGTGCTAATGCGATAACATGTGGCAGATCATGTCTAGCAGGAAAAATATTAAAAATAATACACACCCTGCAAAACACTTTGTAGAAGGGGGGGGGGGGAAATCTGGAAAAAGCCAATAGTCACTCAGGATTTTCAGGAAATTCAGGATTTATTAATTTTTGAAATTGAACCAAAGGATTGACATTAAGGAGTACTCACATTTTTTACAAATAAATACATTTATTTATAACTCAGAAGTGCACATACATTTGATTGTTTAGATATAGGGTTTCCTCCCAAAAAACTTCTTTACCTCTAATCCACTGGTTAGATGGTGGTCTCACTCAAACTCCACTCATCTCCCCAGGAGATCAAAAGGATTCGGAAGAAGGCCGCATGCTCACCATTTTCTATAAAATTCTGAATATGTTCCTTACAGTGCCCCTGGTACTAGTTTATATAAAAATGCAATAAACATTTCTAAAATAAAGGTTTTTCAAGCACCGGGACTTAGTTGGTACTGCTTACTTCATCTCCTGCAACATCATGGAGGAGGCATGGCTTCCTCCAACGTGGTCCGATAAAATGCTCTTCATAGAGGAGCATTGGGGACCTAATGTGCATGCGCAGAGAGTGCCGTATGCACATCCAAGCTTCCTCATAGTAAAGCATTGATTTTAATGCTTTCACATCACATAGCATCAGTATGACAGACACTAAAGGTGGATTTAACCCTTCAATGTAAACATTGCCGTTTCTTAAAAGGCAGGGTTAAAAGGACATGATCACTGCTCCCAGACCACTTCATTAACATGTAGTGACCTGGGAGACTTTAGTGGTTCTTTAATTTAACTTTTAAAACCGAGGAATCTACACCATTTAAAAAATTTAAATTGATTTTATATATATATATATTTAATCTCACATCATTAGAGCAGGAAGGATACAACAAAATATGCAATAATACAGGTGAAAACATACAGTCCGCATAAAGGAGGCTATATAGAGATTTCCTGTGTTTTTTAAAAAGTTATCTGATTATCAAATTTAGTTACATATTTAAACAAATAGTTGTTACAAATGAGATAAATACCTTTTATGGATATGTTTTAACTGACACAAATGCAGGTTGTATTTTTGTATTAATATTAAAGAAACAGTTTATAGAGTATATCCTGCTATCCTGTACACTGTAGTGGAGGCCACCAATCAGTAGTCCCTCATTTTATTCTAGTTTTTACAAATTGATGCAATTATCTCTCAGAACCCTAATCAGTACAATATTGCAAAGTTGTTATGGTGCTTAGAGCTGCGCTATAATTATGTTTATCTTTATCTTATAATAGAGTATATATCTATTTAACTTTACAGCATTGAACTTTTCATAACCATACAGTTTTAATTTACAAAATAAATATATTGCATGATGATAATTATATTGCTCTTTAATATAACACTATAATAATATTGCGGCATGCACAGCTTGGAAATTAGTAACATTGTCCGACATGAGTAAGGCTTTCTGCGTTAATTTAATATTCTTTACTTATATAGCGCCAACATATTCTGCAGCGTATTACAGCTATACAAGAGGGATAGGATATGTTATTCTGTAAAATGATCTGTTACTAAGCATCCAATAAATGCCCATCTTAATAAAGTTGTTTTAATTTGCTGTGAAGTTGGGACATACTGGTACAGAGCCCCCTCAGTTCCCTATATATATGTGTGTGTGTGTGTGAAGGAAGGAAGGAAGGGGCTGTGTGTCTGTAACCGCAGTGTGGGTGCAGCTGCTGTGACGTTTGCCAGGGCTGAGTGACAGATAATATTCTCACTGCCTGGAAGACGTATGATACTTTATCTCTTCCTGACCACCCTTTTCCATGTTGGCCAATGCACCCTGCGCCAAGCACCATGGCCCTCCATGCCAGATACATATAGTTACTTAATGGATATTATTAACTGGTCATTGCTAAGATTTGTTTGTGTGCTATGGAGTTGGGTGGCACTTTATGAGTAACCGTATAAAGTAGGCATATACATTTTTTTGTAAATAAAACCTTATCGAGAAAAAAAAGTAAAAGTGTCCTTGGGAAGTACAAAGTGTCACGGTATGCAGCTTTGTGCATATCTTTCTGTGTGTACCTGGACATCTCCCCCGTTGGATACCTGTAATGTGTGCACCTGAATGTGCTCCTGTACATACCTGTGAATTTGCAGCTGTGGCGTTCGTGTTTCTGTGCACACCTATGGTGTGTGTGCCTGTATGTGCTCCTGTGCACACCTGTGGTGTGTGTGTGTGCCTGTATGTGCTCCTGTGCACACCTGTGGTGTGTGTGTGTGTGTATTTGTATGTGCTCCTGTGCACACCTGTGGTGTGTGTGCACCTGTATGTGCTCCTGCGCACACCTGTGGTGTGTACCTGTATTTGCTTCTGTGCACACCTGTATGTGCTGCTGCGCACACAGCTGCTGCTGTGGTGTGTGTACAAGTATGTGGTCACGTGCAGATCTGTGGTGTGTGTGTACCTGTATTATTATTTATAAAGTGCCAACAAATTTTCCAGTACTGTACAATGGGATGTGTTCTCGTGCATACTTGTGGTGTGTATGTGTACCTGTATGTGCTCGTGTGGCATGTACCTGTTTTGTGTTCCGTTGCAAGTGTGGTATGTGTACCTGTATGTGCTCTGTTCATACCTGTGACGTGTTTACCTGTATGTGCTGTGTGTATGTGTATATTTATTTATAATATACACCCTGTGTATGCCTGTGATTTTTTTCTGTTTGTCTCTTCCCCTGCATTCCAGTGGCGGTATGCTCCCTGTGTAGGCTTGCCTGTGTATACCTGTCTCTCCCTGAATGTGCTGATGTTTCTATAGCAGCCTGTGTACATTAAATAAGCCCAGCTGTTAGATTCCACAAACTATCCCTGTGGGAGTGTTACCTAGAGCCAGACACCATGATAACATCCCCCTTTACATATTACACCTTGTAAACCTGCAAACACTGCATTCTCCTCCGTCCTGTCGGTGCTGCAGGGGTTAAGTTTTTGGGTCAGAGCCTTAGTGTGACAGGAACAGGGTGTGACACTTTCAGTCCCCCCCCCCTCCCTGGGGCAGTGTGACGTGTTGCCCCAGACTCTCCTCCCCAGCCTGGGTTTGCAGCTGTCAGTTCTGAAAGTCTGAGATCAGTGACAATTTCTTCCTGGGTCTGAACTTTACAAACCCCACGAAGCAGCTCGTTTCTGGAGCCTTGTTTACCATCCAGGAGGGCACCAAACCAGGAGAATGGTGCTAATTACTGACGGTGAGTTATGGCAATAGGTGTTAAAAGCTTTACAAAAGCTCTCTATTCGCTACCTATGAAATCCGCAGAACAATACAATATTTTACAGAATTATGTGTCATACATAATCGCTTTAGACGTGTCTGAAATTCAGCACTAAGGTATTCGTTTTATATGGTGTTATTAGACTGTAAATTGTCCTGAGTAGAGCCATTCTTTGTTTTCATTTCACGTAATGCTCGTTTTGTTAGCTTGTAACCCTGCTAAAGGTTGGAGGTTTACAATAAGTGAGTGTGTTTTGGGGATAAGATGCCAGCTGTACAATGCTGTGATGGTGGAAAATGATCGCTTAAGGTGTATTGGTCTATTGTCTGGGAGAACCGGTTTTTAGGGGGGCTGGTCTGTTACACCCCATATCGAGAGAGCTAATTATACTGATATACTGAATAGGACAAGGAGTTCCTAAAAAAATTAACGTGAATGTGCTTTCCGGTTTGCGTTTAAGGGAGTTAACTCCTCTGCTTGTTTTAATTAATTTAAGAGTATCTGGATAAGGTCCTCGGTTAACCCAGTCTAGGAAACGCAGTAGAATCTTATTCTACATAATCTCTTTATTTAAACAAAGCACGTCTTTTTATCTGGCGGGTTTAATATTTATTTTAAAGCTATCGGTTCAATGTTGACATATTAAATATCAGCCAATAATTCAGAAATTTTCAATGTGTAATAAATCCCTCCCCACGTCTTATTAAATTAATAAAAAAGTGACAATTAAAGTCCTTTTGATACCTACATATTCGTTTATTTAATGCAACACTTATGACGGTTCCTTGAATGAAATATAGTTTATACGATTCCCTTATTAAATGCAGCGTAAGCGCGCGTATTCTGTGTTACTCCGATTAGTAAGTTTTGTTGAATAAGGTATAATGTGGTTTAAGAGATTGGTGGTTAAGGTAAAGTGAAGGTCAGCATTGAGTCTTCCAGCTGCTATGAGACTATAGCTTTCTTCTCCTGATCTAGGAGGCTGGATAAGGATGATGGGAGCCGCAGTTTAGGAAGAGAGGAAGGGGGCTCAAGCTTGTACAATATTGGGGGTGTAATGCAAAAGTATTTGTTTCTAATTTCTGAGAATTGAATATAGCATACGACAATGAAACAACTGTAGGCGTAAGCAGAGAGCGAAACAGGTAGTTGAATTACTAAACTCTGCATCACTTCCCTGATTGTGACACAATGTGCGCTGTTAGACGCGCAAACAGCATAGTGTGTAAGAGTGTGATCTGTAGGGAATTCAGAATCATTTCAAAGGGAATTTCAAATTCTCGTCCAAAAATAGCTGCACTGATAATAACATGGCTCGATCAGAGAAGCTGGATTTTACACTTCAGTAATTCGGGCCTAAAGTTTGAATTCCTGACATTTCACGCTTGGTGAATAATGCGGTCACTTAGTCCATACATCTGAATTGCAACGTTTTTAAATTTCTAAAACTAGCATGAATTGCTGGCATAAAACAATTCACTGTTTTCGCCCTGCTAATCAAAATTTATGGTAAGTGGGCGTCCCTGTGCTCCGCTTATGAATAACTTGACGTTTTAGGCCAGAGCTGTGGAGCTGTTTTGGCTCAGCCAGAGTTGGCGAAATGTGGCATTTGTGACTGCTGGTGCCCGCGTAGGCGTCGCTTCTATGAGCTCGGAGCCGCGCAGGCGCCGCTTTTGTGAGGCCGAGCCGCGCAGGCGTCGCTTCTGTGAGGCCGGAGCCGCGCAGGCGTCGCTTCTGTGAGGCCGGAGCCGCGCAGGCGTCGCTTCTGTGAGGCCGGAGCCGCGCAGGCGTCGCTTCTGTGAGGCCGGAGCCGCGCAGGCGTCGCTTCTGTGAGGCCGGAGCCGCGCAGGCGTCGCTTCTGTGAGGCCGGAGGCCGCGCAGGCGTCGCTTCTGTGAGGCCGGAGACCGCGCAGGCGTTCTCGTTTATTCTTTTTGCATCTGGCAGATTCTGAATTAAACAAAGAATGATTTTAAGATTCTTGGGAACTAAAAGGGATATCCACTAAAGTGAGGATTCAAGGTGAATTCTACGTAAATTTAAGCTCAAAATTCCTGAACTGGGAAAAGTTACCTATGCTATCTTTTTGGCTACTCTGGCCTTACACTTGAAATTTCCTTTAAATTCTCCCTTTAGTGAATTCCCCTTGTAAATACACTATCAAAATGGCCCAGAATGCATATCTGAAACTTTTATCCTAATCGAAAACATTTTTCCAATGTGCATATTTATGGGTTGCAAAATAAACCTGCAGTGTGCCAGAGTGTTGAGCAATTTATTCTCCTCTATCACTAAAAAATGTTAACGTACATTATTACATCAGCCAACTTCTGTTTTAAATTGATTGTTAGTGTTAGAAAAATGTGTGCTTGCAATGCAAAACACCGACCGTGAACAACTGCACCCTCAAAAAAAGTGCATGGCTTGCATGCTTTCATGACAGGTGCTCTCTAAGAGAAATCCATATTGTGGACGGTTTGGTGGGAACCTTGGGCCTGCACCACGTGTTTCCGTGGCAGTAACTGGCCCAATAAACACATTGCAAAATACTACATTTCCTCTGCTCCCCAGCCCTGCTTTATGAAGGCAATGTTTAACGTTTATTTTTATTTAATCTATTATAGATAACTCTAAAAGTATGAGAGAATAAAAAGATGTGCTCGCTACAATTCACAATCAAAAATATATGGAAATCTAACAAAGTGAGGCTTTGCTTCGTTTAAAAAAAAAAAAATAAACCACTTTAATCTTAACGTTAAATATTGCAATTTGAATCTTCAGAAATTTTTTGGGGCAAAATGATTTAATATAAGGGGGGCAGCCATTATTATTTTTAATTTGATTTATAAGAAAACACGGCTGGTAAATAGTTGTGCTAACTGTTCATCTTTCTGCCTCTATATTAGTGAATAAAAACATATTTTGCGAGAATATTTCTTGTTATTCGCTTTAATAAATAATTTACAGTCAGAATAACGTTGAGATGACGCAGAACCAGTTTATTAAAAGGACACCAAGGACTGATAGTTAACCACCATTTTTAGTGCACTTTATTGATAAGGGTCATTATAACGTATTGGTTTTTGTTCCCCTCGACTTTTTTTGCTTGCGTCACAGGGAAAGAGGTGCTGTGTGGTTTTATTTTTTAAATTTTATTTTAAGGTAGTTATGGCCCACCTTTTTTTTTTTTTTTTTTTTAAGAAAGCAATGATGACTGGGCCATCTAATCTTGCCAACACGGTATCCTATATCTCCATTTGTCCAAAGACTTGCCCGTCCATCGCATCTCTGCCTGTGATTCCAATGTTCTATATATTTGCTTGGGAATAAACAGCCATTCACCCACTCAGTCTGTGGGTGTAGCAATCAGCTGTAGAATAAAAGGCTCCCCACCTATCTGTTATTATATATGGCACAGCCGGCAGAGTGCTTTAAACAATGCTCCATGCACCTGCCGATCAGCGAGCAGCCGCTCCTGGGCCTTGCGAGGGCGTATATTCTACCACCTTTATTGATTTACTCAGGGAGATGCATTGTTTTACTGCTAAGTAACGTAACATTTAGAATAAGCCTCTTAATAATGCATGATATAATTGGTAAAATCACACCGGGCACATACCCACGGCTGTTGTATTTAGGTCACGGCTGGCTGATTAGCAGGGAGAGGTATTTCTTAGGGGAGGCAGTCATCATGCCATAACCTACATCTGGCACCGTCTATACTCAAATCAAAGAATAGAGTAATGGCCTTTAAACAGGGATTTCCAATGATGCTGTGTTGGGTATCCTGACATACAAAATGGCTGTATCTTGCATGCCCCCACTGCGTGTGCCAGTTAAAGCATCATGCGAATGTTCAGTGGGAGATTGGGACATTTAAGACCAACTTTCCAATGTACCAGCAGCACCGAAATAGATTAATTCTCATGTATCTGTCATTTTTATTGAAACTCTAGTCTACTGAGTTAGTGGATGAAATCCTTAACGCGGAGCAACTAATTTCTACACCGCAGTAAGTGCTAATGAAAACTAAAAAAACCAAAACAATAAACTATAACAAACAAACATTTACCTCTAAAATTTGTGTGTTTGGGACAACGTAACTTCCACTTTAAATCCATGTGCTCCCAGGTTTGTCCATTGAAATGCCCACTGAGAGCATGAGTGATATGGTGCATTGCACTGTGGGAGTTATATTAATTTGCATAGTGTGCTCTAGCTGTGCCAGGGCAGCCATGCATTGAATGTAATTTAAAAACTGTTGACTTGCTAATGTTTTGTTTTAGTTACTATGAGGCTGTACATGTAATCCCTGGCCAGTTAGTGAGTCCTTTCTGAAGGCTGTGGTTAAACAGTCAGTAAATTCCTGGTGGTAACGTTGTCAATCTATTTAACAGCTGCCTTCAGCATTCTGTTCTGAGTGTATCAGCTGATTATTCACAGTTCTCCTCTAAACCCCATTGTACAGGGCTGTCCACCCAACATTTATATTATATTCACATGGTCCAGGAGACGTGGAATGGCCTTTCAGTGGATCGTTCTGGCTACCAGTGATATATAAAGAGTAGTAGACACCTGGAAATGCCAGTGGACACAAATCAATGTCAACACAATAAACATAAAAAGGCCCTTTCCATGCTTTCCGGTGCTCGTTTAGGTGGGAACTATCAAACCGTCTCCAAAGAATGGAAATTGGCAACTCAAGCTGGGGCAAGAGGATGTCCAAGTTCAATGATAACATGTTTAAAAATCTTCTAAGCTGAAACAATGTAGTTTTGGGCCTGTCTGTCCCCCCAATAAAATTAATGCTTCCTCTTTGTTACCCATCAATTCTGCTTTTACAAGCCTGGAAGCAGTAAAAGCTAACAGTGATATAGAAAGGGTAGTAGATACCTGGAATAGCCTCTGGGGGCTGGTGATATGGAAGCCCCCCCCATTGCTGGGTAACTCTGGGGGCAGGTGATATGGAAGCCCCCCCCCCCCATGCTGGGTATCTCTGGGGGCTGGTGATGTGGAAGCCCCCTGTGCTGGGTATCACTGGGGGCTGGTGATGTGGAAGCCCCCCATTGCTGGGTATCTCTGGGGGCTGGTGATATGGAACCCCCCCCACCCCCCTGTGCTGGGTGTCTCTGGTGGCTGGTGATGTGGAAGCCCCCCTGTGCTGGGTATCTCTGGGGGCTGGTGATGTGGAAGCCCCCCTGTGCTGGGTAACTCTGGGGGCTGGTGATATGGAAGCCCCCCTGTGCTGGGTAACTCTGGGGGCTGGTGATATGGAAGCCCCCCTGTGCTGGGTATCTCTGGGGGCTGGTGATATGGAAGCCCCCCTGTGCTGGGTATCTCTGGGGGCTGGTGATATGGAAGCCCCCTTGTGCTGGGTATCTCTGGGGGCTGGTGATATGGAAGCCCCCCCTGTGCTGGGTATCTCTGGGGGCTGGTGATATGGAAGCCCCCCTGTGCTGGGTATCTCTGGGGGCTGGTGATATGGAAGCCCCCCTGTGCTGGGTATCTCTGGGGGCTGGTGATGTGGAAGCCCCCCCTGTGCTGGGTATCTCTGGGGGCTGGTGATGTGGAAGCCCCCCTGTGCTGGGTATCTCTGGGGGCTGGTGATGTGGAAGCCCCCCCTGTGCTGGGTATCTCTGGGGGCTGGTGATGTGGAAGCCCCCCCTGTGCTGGGTATCTCTGGGGGCTGGTGATATGGAAGCCCCCCTGTGCTGGGTATCTCTGGGGGCTGGTGATATGGAAGCCCCCCCTGTGCTGGGTATCTCTGGGGGCTGGTGATATGGAAGCCCCCCCTGTGCTGGGTATCTCTGGGGGCTGGTGATATGGAAGCCCCCCTATGCTGGGTATCTCTGGGGGCTGGTGATGTGGAAGCCCCCCCCCCGTGCTGGGTAACTCTTGGGGCTGGTGATGTAGGTACCATTGCCCGGGTAATGCTGCCAGGGGCCCCATGGCTGTGGCAGGGGAAGGGTTAAGGGGGTCGCACCGTGTGCGCAAGTCTGATCCCTCCTCCCGGCCTGTGAGTGAGGAGGAGCCGCTCCGGGACCGTTATCGCCGCTTCTCGCATCCTTCCTATTTATCATCTGTCAAGGGAGGGCCCCGGGCCCCCAGCCCATCCTGTGCCATGGCGGTGGGTGAGACCCTGGACAGAGCCTGGCAGGATATCCACAGCATGGGCATGGGGGGCCCCCTGACTGCCTGACCCCCCCAGGGACCACAGGAGCCACAGCCTGGGGAAGGTAGGTAGTCATGGAGGGAGTACTGACAGTTCAATACCAGGACCCAGTGCCAGGCTGGGGAAGGTAGGTAGTCATGGGGGGACTGACAGGTGAATATCAGGACCCAGTGCCAGGCTGGGGAAGGTAGATAGTCATGGGGGAGTACTGACAGGTGAATATCAGGACCCAGTGCCAGGCTGGGGAAGGTAGGTAGTCATGGAGGGACTGACAGGTGAATATCAGGACCCAGTGCCAGGCTGGGGAAGGTAGGTAGTCATGGAGGGAGTACTGACAGGTGAATATCAGGACCCAGTGCCAGGCTGGGGAAGGTAGATAGTCATGGGGGAGTACTGACAGGTGAATATCAGGACCCAGTGCCAGGCTGGGGAAGGTAGGTAGTCATGGGGGGACTGACAGGTGAATATCAGGACCCAGTGCCAGGCTGGGGAAGGTAGGTAGTCATGGGGGAGTACTGACAGGTGAATATCAGGACCTGTGCCAGGCTGGGAAGGTAGGCAGTCAGTGGGGGAGGACAGGTAGTATCACCCAGTGCCAGGCTGGGAAGGTGCATGGTAGTGAATATCAGGACCCGTGTGCCAGGCTGGGGAAGTACATGGGAGGACTGACAGGTGAATATCAGGACCCAGTGCCGGGCTGGGGAAGGTAGGTAGTCATGGAGGGACTGACAGGTGAATATCAGGACCCAGTGCCAGGCTGGGGAAGGTAGGAAGTCATGGGGGGACTGACAGGTGAATATCAGGACCCAGTGCCAGGCTGGGGAAGGTAGGTAGTCATGGGGGAGTACTGACAGGTGAATATCAGGACCCTGTGCCAGGCTGGGGAAGGTAGGTAGTCATGGGGGGACTGACAGGTGAATATCAGGACCCAGTGCCAGGCTGGGGAAGGTAGGTAGTCATGGGGGGAGAACTGACAGGTGAATATCAGGACCCTGTGCCAGGCTGGGGAAGGTAGGTAGTCATGGGGGAGTACTGACAGGTGAATATCAGGACCCAGTGCCAGGCTGGGGAATGTAGGTAGTCATGGGGGTGTACTGACAGGTGAATATCAGGACCCAGTGCCAGCCTGGGGAAGGTAGGTAGTCATGGGGGAGTACTGACAGGTGAATATCAGGACCCAGTGCCAGCCAGGGGAAGGTAGGTAGTCATGGAGGGAGTACTGACAGGTGAATATCAGGACCCTGTGCCAGGCTGGGGAAGGTAGGTAGTCATGGGGGGACTGACAGGTGAATATCAGGACCCTGTGCCAGGCTGGGGAAGGTAGGTAGTCATGGGAGTACTGACAGGTGAATAATAGGGACCCAGTGCCAGGCTGGGGAAGGTAGGAAGTCATGGGGGGACTGACAGGTGAATATCAGGACCCAGTGCCAGCCAGGGGAAGGTAGGTAGTCATGGAGGGACTGACAGGTGAATATCAGGACCCAGTGCCAGGCTGGGGAAGGTAGGTAGTCATGGGGTGACTGACAGGTGAATATCAGGACCCAGTGCCAGCCAGGGGAAGGTAGGTAGTCATGGGGGAGTACTGACAGGTGAATATCAGGACCCAGTGCCAGGCTGGGGAAGGTAGATAGTCATGGAGGGACTGACAGGTGAATATCAGGACCCAGTGCCAGGCTGGGGAAGGTAGGTAGTCATGGGGTGACTGACAGGTGAATATCAGGACCCTGTGCCAGGCTGGGGAAGGTAGGTAGTCATCGGGGGACTGACAGGTGAATATCAGGACCCTGTGCCAGGCTGGGGAAGGTAGGTAGTCATGGGGGGACTGACAGGTGAATATCAGGACCCAGTGCCAGGCTGGGGAAGGTAGGTAGTCATGGGGGAGTACTGACAGGTGAATATCAGGACCCAGTGCCAGCCAGGGGAAGGTAGGTAGTCATGGAGGGAGTACTGACAGGTGAATATCAGGACCCAGTGCCAGGCTGGGGAAGGTAGATAGTCATGGAGGGACTGACAGGTGAATATCAGGACCCAGTGCCAGGCTGGGGAAGGTAGATAGTCATGGAGGGACTGACAGGTGAATATCAGGACCCAGTGCCAGGCTGGGGAAGGTAGGTAGTCATGGGGTGACTGACAGGTGAATATCAGGACCCTGTGCCAGGCTGGGGAAGGTAGGTAGTCATCGGGGGACTGACAGGTGAATATCAGGACCCAGTGCCAGGCTGGGGAAGGTAGGTAGTCATGGGGGAGTACTGACAGGTGAATATCAGGACCCAGTGCCAGGCTGGGGAAGGTAGGTAGTCATGGGGGGAGTACTGACCGGTGAATATCAGGACCCTGTGCCAGGCTGGGGAAGGTAGGTAGTCATGGGAGTACTGACAGGTGAATATCAGGACCCAGTGCCGGGCTGGGGAAGGTAGGTAGTCATGGAGGGACTGACAGGTGAATATCAGGACCCAGTGCCAGGCTGGGGAAGGTAGGAAGTCATGGGGGGACTGACAGGTGAATATCAGGACCCAGTGCCAGGCTGGGGAAGGTAGGTAGTCATGGGGGAGTACTGACAGGTGTATATCAGGACCCAGTGCCAGGCTGGGGAAGGTAGGTAGTCATGGGGGGACTGACAGGTGAATATCAGGACCCAGTGCCAGGCTGGGGAAGGTAGGTAATCATGGAGGGTGTACTGACAGGTGAATAATAGGGACCCAGTGCCAGGCTGGGGAAGGTAGGTAGTCATGGGGGAGTACTGACAGGTGAATATCAGGACCCTGTGCCAGGCTGGGGAAGGTAGGTATTCATGGAGGGAGTACTGACAGGTGAATATCAGGACCCTGTGCCAGGCTGGGGAAGGTAGGTAGTCATGGGGGGAGAACTGACAGGTGAATATCAGGACCCTGTGCCAGGCTGGGGAAGGTAGGTAGTCATGGGGGAGTACTGACAGGTGAATAACATGACCCAGTGCCAGGCTGGGGAAGGTAGGTCGTTGGGTGTAATGACTTGTGAATAATCAGGCTGGAGAAAGAGGTAGTGCTAGGGTATGAGGGTGGTGCTTTGCTTTCATGTAAGGTAACAGGACCTAGAGAAGGTAGGTAGGCATGGGTTGACATTCAACCTGTGCATCCTGGGCCTCCAGTGTGAGGTAAGTAGGCATAGGGTGGCAATGCTGACAATTAGAAAATCCAGTCTCTAGGGTTCTCCCGATGAAGGTAGGTGTTAGGTGGCTTTCCTGACCGGTTCAATGTTAGACAGTTAGTAAAGAAAGCCACAATGAACCTACCCTCTAGCGACTCACCTTTCACCCCCCCACTCACTCCCTGACCAACTTATTCATGGACTCACCCACTCACTCCCTGACCGACCCATTCATGGACTCACCCACTCACTCACCGACCCATTCATGAACTCACCCACTCACTCCCTAACCGACCCATTCATGGACTCACCCACTCACTCCCTAACTGACCCATTCATGGACTCACCCACTCACTCTCTGACCGACCTATTCATGGACTCACCCACTCACTCCCTAACCGACCCATTCATGGACTCACCCACTCACTCCCTGACCGACCCATTCATGGACTCACCCACTCACTCCCTGACCGACCCATTCATGGACTAACCCACTCACTCCCTAACCGACCCATTCATGGACTCACCCACCCACTCCCTAACCGACCCATTCATGGACTCACCCACTCACTCCCTGACCGACCCATTATTGGACTCACCCACCCACTCCCTGACCGACCTATTCATGGACTCACCCCCACTCCCTGACCCGACCCATTCATGGACTCACCCTCCTCCCTAACCGACCCATTCATGGACTCACCCACCCACTCCCTGACCGACCTATTCATGGACTCACCCACCCACTCCATGACCGACCCATTCATGGACTCACCCACTCACTCCCTAACTGACCCATTCATGGACTCACCCACCCACTCCCTGACCGACCTATTCATGGACTCACCCACCCACTCCCTGACCGACCCATTCATGGACTCACCCACTCACTCCCTAACCGACCCATTCATGGACTCACCCACCCACTCCCTGACCGACCCATTCATGGACCTCACCCACCCACTCCCTGACCGACCCATTCATGGACTCACCCACTCACTCCCTGACCGACCTATTCATGGACTCACCCACCCACTCCCTGACCGACCCATTCTTGGACTTACCCACTCCCTGACCGACCTATTCATGGACTCACCCACCCACTCCCTGACCGACCTATTCATGGACTCACCCACTCACTCCCTGACCGACCTATTCATGGACTCACCCACTCACTCCCTGACCGACCTATTCATGGACTCACCCACTCACTCCCTGACCGACCCATTCATGGACTAACCCACTCACTCCCTAACCGACCCATTCATGGACTCACCCACTCACTCCCTCATCCAGTTATGGACTCACCCACTTATTCATTTGTTCATGGACTCACTCACCCACTCGGCCATTCGTGGACTCACACATACACCTACCTACACACCCACTCACCCAGGGACCTTTCCACAGAAATACATTAATAGGGATTCTATCTATCCACCCCCACCTGTCACTGTTTATTATTAACCATTCAGGGGCTGAACGATTGTCCACTTCCTGGGGGGGGTCTGTATTTCAGTGATCTGTAGACATGTCTCATGAAGCTCAGCCAGCCAAATAAATGGCGTAATCTGGTGTGGAAAAAACATAGTAATAATAAAACCAATGTTTCATAGGTAAATTTGAAATGCAGGAAATGATTGCTATTTTATTATTACGTACAGTTTGTACCAGGAGCAGACAGAACAGAATCATTGTTTTAAAGCTGAATCGGTGGGATGGAGATTGCTGTAGTCGCCATGGTTGAGTTTTTGTGTGCGATAATGTCCTGATCGCCTGCCTGGCAGGGTACCAGGGAGAGAGGACCAAACATTGCTGCGTTGGCTCAAGATTTCAGATATGACATTGTGTCTGAAATTTCCTGTTTGTGGTTGTGTTGCTCGCACACCCATGACACGTAGCTTCTCGGGAACATACTCTCATCGTCTGTAATTATTTTGCATTTTTGCTATTTCTCTACATCAATACATATTTTTCTGCATGTTTTTGGAGGACATATGACATGTTTGAATATAATCTAAAACATAAATGCATTTATAGTAACCGGGGGGTGGGAAAAAAACAACATTCACTTTAGGATCATAGTTAAAATTCCATAAGTTTTTTTGCCATTTTGTTGTTGGTAAACACACAGAAGGTTATTTATTAAAATGTGAATTGTCTGAAATTCAACAAGGAATTGCAAATTTAAAAGAACAACTCCAAGCGCCATAATTACAACAGTGCGCTGTAGTGGTTATGGTGCCAGAAGTGCTGTAACTTACCCCAAGTGTAAGTAGTCAAATTGTTTGCCGATGGTTTGATTTTTTTTTTTTACCTGTACCTGGTGTTTGCTCAGCGCCGGTCACTTTCACTTATGTCTGTCTGTCTGTCCGTCCATCTGTCTATCGAATACGATAACAGTAACCGGTTTATGAGCCCAAGGGTCCGGTGTTTTATAATTGTCTCCCATAATACCTGCACTCACAGTAATGTTCAGTGTATTCTGTTACGTATTGTAGGGGCTAAGGGGAGAACTTTACTTTAAGGGCAATACATTTCCCAGTGCAGCCTCAGATCAGTGGTGTTAAGTTCCAGGCTTGGAGCTATTTCAAATGACATTAAAAAAGTCCAAGATTAGGACGCCCCCGACTGCATTACTACAAAAAAAATTGCTCAGATGACACCACCATCCATGTTCTAGAAGCCTTCCCTCCCTATATATATATTTTATGCTGTATATTATATGCATTCTTACTTGACTTCCGTTATACATTTGTAACAATCACAGATTTTGTTGTTAATAAACTCTATTGAGTGCGTGATGTTTCCTGCTGTGTAGGTTGGTGAGAGACAGCCTGTGTGTATTTGACTAATGAGGGGTGAGTCTTATCTCAGAGGCTGAGCTCTATAAAGGTCAGACCTGTGTCTCCATCACTCAGTGAGTGTCACACCACAGAGCCCACAGTGTTTGATTGACAAGCCTGCTCATCGTTAATGATGGATTTAATCCCTTCTTTATGCCTTACATGCACATAGAGGGTCACGTATGTTTACATAGACACAGGAAATGGGACCTGTGTAGAAAATACCTGCTTTAAAGTTTTTTTTTGTTTTTGTTTTTGTTTTTACATTTTTCTCTCAAGATTTTGGTTATATTGGTCAATGTGTAATTAACTGTGCACATGTGAAAGCCTTGTGCTTTCTGAATGTGAACGTGAGCTGCCATGAAAATATAGTATATCCGAGCAGTATGTGCGGTCTACCAGCGCTTTACCACCGTCTGCCAGTCATGTACCTAACAGCAGCTATTACTTAAGTCCACCAAATCCCATTATCTCGTAACGCATGGATTTGCGTACACCTCCCCCTAAAACACGCATTCAGAAATTCTGTATTCTTATTGATTGAGACACTTTTTCTAATTAATGATTGCACTTATGGTTATATTATACTACAGAAAAATGCGCGTATTTGAAATAACAGCGGCAGAATTTAGTAGGAACAAATATATAGTTACTATTGTATTCAGAAAACTGTTTGTATAACTTCCAGCAAGTTGTTTTGCTTCTTCCAACCGGTCTTCATTGAGCGCACCCTCTCTGTTTAGGTCCGTACATTGCGGATTTTGTCAGTAACCATGAGAAGCATGTTTATGTGAACGAACTAGCAGCATTAATGGACTCTCTAAGGTGAAAAACAAACATATTTATTGTTCAGATTGAAGGCACTCTGTCCTGTAAATATTATTATTATTTATATAGTGCCAGCAAATTCTGTAGCGCTGTAATAAAAAGACGTTGTTTTTACCGGTACTCACCGGTAATGAAGAGTCAGGACGCATTCTGACAGGCAGCCGCTCCTCCTGTTCGGAGATTATCTCTTAGTCCTTCTCATACAGAAGCATTAAGGGACTATGGCGCATGCGCGTCACATGCCATCCTTCACCAAGATTTGTCTCCTGAGAAGCATTATCCAATCTTCTATCAGGAAGTGGCGCTAGTGATTGTTAGTCTGATAACTGCTAGATCTAAGGTTTAGGCAAAATGAAAAAAATTTCATCTCTGAAACTGCTTTACATTGCACCAAACCACGTTGTTATGATGAAGTGGGTTTGGCGTTTAGAGTGGCCCTTCAGGTTATCTGAGCAGTCAAGCAAATTTATTTTTTTACCCAATACTTTTTGAAGCTTCCTTTTGTCTGGAAGTTTTGGCTCTCATAACAGGGCTACATGTTGTTGTCTGTCTTGACATGGGGGTGGGGGGGTTACCATGAATTGTGTAATCTCATGAAGTCATGTAGACTTGATGCAGCGATTCCCACCATTCTCCGTTCACTCTCCTGTCTGTGTTCATGGCCATCTGTTGGACTGTGCAATTGGCCCCTGTTTCACGTCTCTTGACATGTCTAATCCAATTATTTCCCTTTTGTATTTGAAATCAGCTTGTCTCGCCAATCATGTCCATTCATTTACCCGCAAAGCGGAAGCCTAGGCGATGTATATGGGGGGGGTCCTAATCATGTCTGCAGGGCAGATGTTTGAACGATTTGACAACACTTTAGCCTAGGTGCTGGTTGGGTAGATGTCCTTACTCACCTTGGACACTCTGATAGTCCATCACTGGATCAATAGATGTTCAGTACTCTGGAAAGACATTCAAAGTAACATTTCCAATTTGTTTTAATATACCAATTTATCTTGTTATATAAGAAGCGGGGTTCCTAATTGCAAAAAGCTATACTTAAACATCAAACATGTAACATATAATAGAGACAAGCGTTGGCTAGTGATTTTATATTCCTTCTATTTTGATGGTCAATACATGTATCAAGTTTCCAGTTTCCAGGTTCTTATTTCAGTATGTCAGCTATGATAGAATGTTGGGGTCTTTTGATGGTATGTTCTGTAGTGACACGGACAGACGTGGCTGCAAGAGTTTTAGTCCTTTATTTGCCAGATGATTGAGTGTTTGCATTGCTGTATGAGTTGTTACCTCGCCTGCAATACCAGACCATCCACAATTTGTTTTGTTTATTTGAATTGCAACAAAACAGGGAACCTTGTAAAGGGAAGCTCGCCCTATGTGGTGCCCCAAAGAGGGCTTAGTGGATGGGAAAAAAGTTGGCGAGCTTCACTGTGGATGCCTGGGGTGTCAGTGGGGTACGTTCGCTAACAGCCGTGTGTATATTTATTGTATGGTTTGTATTTTTAAAGTGATTCCAATAGAGTACTTTACTGTTGAGTGAGGCTTTATTTAGTGAGTTAGTGGTTTATCATTGGCAGGATGGCTGTCAATTTAAACGTGGTTTGATGTGATTGTAATGTGTTTATTTGTCTTCCCTCAGTACCCAGTGACCTGACAGCTGAAGAGCGTCAGGAATTGGAGCACATTCAGCGTCGGAAGCAGGAACTGCTAGCGGACATACAGGTAACACATCCTTTTTAATCCAAGATCACGTTGGACTCGAACAGGCACATTATATTGATCAGATCCCTGGCAACGGAAGTTGTTTCCTGCCGCCATTCTGCTTTTTCCCTGGATAAGTGAAGACCCATTTGAAACTGGGATTGGTCTAAACTAAAAAAATATATAATAATGTATATCCGGGTGCCACGCATTTCTGTCTCTGTCCATTTCTAGGTTTTGTAGTAGGACTTTCACATTCTGTTTTATAACTAAAAAGTACAGGGAATCCTTGCTTTTTCTGTCCTTCCTCTGCCCTATCAGTTGATGGTAACTCTACTTTCCACTTTCTGTTTTTAACTAGATGGTACAGATAACTCTTTCCCTAATCTCCAATTGGAATTAATGGCAGTCTGTATCACAGGGTTAGACAGACCCAGTCTCAGGGAGTGTATCTGTGACATGACTGACCTGGAGAGCGGCTGTCACATTCCATGTGATTAGAAACCCTTCATACTGGTGGGACTGAGGTGGGGGGATTCTCACGGTGTCAGCTTGACTCTATGTCCATTTCATCGTTTATGGCAGTCTTGCCGCGCCTGAGACAGTGCATCACGCTGACATTCCCATAACAATTCGTCTCTCCCTCCCTGCCTCCCCCTTTTTGTTTGTAAGGTCAGGTGCAGCTTGTATCGGCTCTGGCTTTCACCCCCTTAGGCAAAGACTGGCGACTCCACAGGATTTTCTGGGGCAGAAAATTGTAGTCTTTGGAGTGCGAGGTGGTAGTGGGGTGATAGCGAGGTGGGGGCAGCTATAGGCACAGTGAGACTTGTGGGATGTACCAAGCACATAACAAAATATTCTCCGGTCACTGAGCAGAAGACAAATCTATGGGGACATTTCATAATTTGGAGATCTTCTAACTTGGTGTAAATATGATGTTCCCCAAGGTGGCTGTCCAGTGGGTTTTCGTGACCCCTTAGCCAGCAGGAGAGTAAGAAAGGGTAAAAAGATTTTAAAGTGTTAACATAAATCTTTGCTGTTATTTATTAATTATTTTGCCTCTCCTGACTCATAATCTTTTTTTATCTTGTCCCACCTTCCCAAACGTTTCTTGTTCTTTTTTTTTTTTTTTCATCTTTCTTCAGCTTCCCCCTTTTCTTCCAAAAACCACTTCTTACTCCCCCTTTCCATTATTAATCTGAAATGTAGTTTTTATTTTATTTCCCTTTCTCAGCGGCTGAAGGATGAGATAGCAGAAGTTACGAATGAAATTGAGAACCTGGGTTCCACCGAGGAGAGGTGAGCTTGTTCCTCCAACCCTTGTAGTTTAATATCTTTGAGTCCTGCACTTGTAGTTTCTGTTAGGCCAGTGCTGTGTTACCTGTTAGCACAGCGTATCTCTCGGTACTAGGTAATGCAGTACTGCAGACTGAGCAAGGGGAAACTGGGACCAGGGTATATTTCCCACTGTCTTATACAGGCATGGTGTCCAGATTTCTATATTTTCACAGGAGATGTATGAACTCTGCGTTCTGTCAGAGGGGGCTTCATAGTGCTACCCAGCAGTACTTGCAATGTATGTGCTCTAGGTGGGATATCCAGTTAGGAACCATTGTGATTAATTCATTTCGCATTAGAGAATATAAATTCTACATATTGCATTCTCAAACGCTGCCTGAAGAAGCCAGTTCCAATATTATTATTTAGTATTTATATAATACTGGCTTATTCTGCAGCGCTGTGTAGATTATAATTCTATAAATTGTCTTGTAGCATCCTTTCCAGGAAGCTTTCTATTGGATAAGTAACTATTAAGTCATTAGTAAGCATATTAATTGATTATATCCTTAGCACAGGTGCAATCAGATTAAAGTGATATTAGTAACTGGGGGAAGGAAGGATAAAGGTCAGAGTGGTGGGCACTCTGTGGGGGAGGAGGGAGCGAGCTCACATGTGTTGAGCACGGAGAAACACTAGTGGCACGCATGGCTTTTAGGTCACGAATGTGGTCAACGAAGGCTTTTCATGATTGGGTTTGCTTTGAGCAATCTTCAGTAATATAAGAAAGATTGCTGCTGGGCGAGAATTTTTTTAATTTTTTTTGATCTTGTATTTTTAGTTAATTTTACATATAATATATAAACATACATACATACACAGAATATGATTGTAAATCTTTGCTAAAAATATTTCACTGCTGGGTTGATGCTCTCTTGATTTTAGGTGACATTTCTGCTTATACAATTACAATTCGTCTTTTCAACACAACACATGGGAATTATAATGTAATAGTAATAGTAACTGCATAAAGCAGCTCTGTGTAGCCAGTGTAATTACAGTCATTGTTATAGCACCAACCTATTCCGTAGCGCTGTACAATAGAGAAACCAAGACAAATAATTAATTCTAATCAAACACGTTTGATGTATGAGAACAGTAGATGAAGGGGGCCTTGCCCAAATTAATTTGCAATCTTAAATCGACCATGATGCTTCTGACGTGCTGTCCAGCTTTGTCAAACTGTGTCTTTCTAGACCTGTAAGATGAAAATGGACAGCAGGAGTAAGCTATACACAGCTCTAGTTCTCTTCCAAATGTTTAGTTAACTTGGAACTGAAAGATCGCCATTAAGGCATTTCTAGTGCAGAATGTGTTTAGCACAAACTCCAATCAAAACTACAAATATTTCCAGCTTTTTCACAGTTCAGGGTCCTATTTTGCATTGGTGCAGAATACCTTAAATGGCTTCTTCTGTTCTACAGGAAGAACATGCAAAAGAACAAACAGGTAGCAATGGGAAGGAAGAAATTCAACATGGACCCTAAAAAGGTACGACCCAAAGAGTATTCCGCATTTATGCTGTCTTGAGTGGACTAGGTTTGTTCTCCCATGACACTGGCTGACTTCTATCTACAGGGCATCCAGTTCCTGATAGAGAACGAGCTGTTAAAACATACATGTGAAGACATTGCACAGTTCCTGTACAAGGGTGAAGGACTGAATAAGACTGCTATTGGGGACTACTTAGGGGAAAGGTAAGCTTGGACGGGTTATCTGAAGCAGAAGGGGAACATATTTACTAGAGGAGTGTAAATACATGAGGTCTGTTGATTATTTTTACTCGTTTTCTCATTTCCATCTCTTCTAATGCCCTAATGTTTTTTTGCAGAGATGACTTCAACATCCAAGTCCTTCATGCATTTGTGGAACTTCATGAATTTATGGACCTTAACTTGGTACAGGCTCTTCGGTGAGTTCTGTTACATTACTTGCAGTCCTGGAGTTTATCAACCCTCAGGGAATGTTACATTCTGTCTCTCTCCCACAGGCAGTTTTTGTGGAGTTTTCGTTTACCCGGGGAAGCTCAAAAAATAGATCGAATGATGGAGGCGTTCGCACAGCGCTACTGCCAGTGCAACCCAGGAGTTTTTCAATCTACAGGTTTGTTTTTTCCATTTTTTTATTTTTATTGTCTTTCAGTATTTTACCCGCTCACATTCCTCCACATTCTCAAAATCATTCTGCTTCCCTATCATTCAATTCTACTGTCTATCTTCAATATTGGCTAAATCCAAAACTCCCACCTGGATTCTGAATGCTTACCTACTGGACATCTGTTCCATCCTGACTGCTCCCCAATTGGTCAAGTCTGTCGTCTTTTTCTCTCTCAATGCATGTATAACGTTTTTCTCGACATGCGCGGTTCAGTTTGCTTGCCATTCTTTCTCATGTGCATTAGTGAACTCCAAACTCTAAAATGATCCCAAGCATTTATTGGTGTTGGTTAATTTTTTTTTGCTACACGTTCTTGTTTTCTTGCTTCACACACTTTCCCTGTGCTATTCCACCCGTGCTGACCACTGATCACTATCTCTGCAGACACTTGCTATGTCCTCTCCTTTGCCATCATAATGCTGAACACCAGCCTGCACAATCCCAACGTCAAAGACAAACCAGGCGTGGACCGATTTATTGCCATGAACCGCGGAATCAACGATGGAGGTGACCTGCCGGAGGATCTTCTGAGGGTCAGTGCTGTGAAGCTTGCAGTGCGGTATATGAAGTGCGGGAATACTTTGGCCGTTTCACATGGACAGTTGACAGAACTAAGCTTAGCTTGTAGATCTGGCTCTGTATTCTAAATCATCACTTCATGTCCTGTTTAATAGCGGTATCATATTCATTGATATTGACTTTAGTGGAGACACTGTAACATTCATGGACTAAATTATTTTTCTTTCCTCCCAGAACCTGTATGACAGTATAAAGAACGAACCCTTTAAAATTCCAGAGGATGATGGGAACGACTTAACACACACCTTCTTCAACCCTGACAGAGAGGGCTGGCTCCTGAAACTGGGTGAGTGATCTGGGCCATACCATTCTAGGGTGTTTAATGAAGTTAGGTGCAGTGAGATGGGGTATGTATGGGACAAGGGCTATGGTACATTATCAGGCTAGGGTAAACCATTCTCTGCTATGCGGTTAGGATATGGATATTTCCATTAGCAAAGGAGAACATTAAAAACATCAACAAGTCTGGGCTTCATTATAGATATAAACATATAAAGCTGGAATAAATTCGGGACCGCTATATTTTTTTACAGATTGCTACATTAGTTCCACACTATCCTCAGCCATGTAAATGCCTTGCATTTCCTCCCCATATCTTCTCTCTCTAAACTCCCCCTCCCATTTTGCTCCATATCTCAAATGGCTGTTCCCCGGGGCGTTCAGCATGTGCTACAGTGATGACCGCATAAATCATTCCAGATTCCTATAACGCATACCCTGCATTCCTTTTATTTTATTTAGAAATCTGGCGTTATCACATCGGGGTAACTTTTCCAAGCAGAATGTTTTATCCGTATTGTGTGTCTGTCCATTATACAGATTTGGCTTATCTGGTTCCCAGAACTACTTAACAATAAATATCTACCATGGCTGCCCACGTAATGCATTATACATATATATATATACACAAAATAAAAAAACATATTCCATGCCCTTTTATAAAAATTATATTTCCTGCCCTTTTATAAAACAATTCGTAATTTCTCCCTTTTTTGTTTTGGCAACAAAATTGAGGGAACCAATTTGTTGAGCAAACTTTCCTTTCCGTTCCCATACGTGCACCGCAGGGTACAGCTTCTTGCTAAAGCAGTTTGAAACCCCTTTTAAGAATATACAAAATCATCAGCATCCCAGTCTAGCTTGGTGGAATATGGAATTTCTATATTTAATGGAGATTTTGCCAGCCTAGCATGTAAATGCATTATTACACAAGCTTCCTATGCGCAGACTTTCATGTATTTAATATAGCTGGGATCCACCGCAGGCCAAGGTTTAATTTCTTTACCTTATTATTGAGTTACGTTATTTTTAGCAGATTGCATGTTGGTGGGAGGGGGGGTGATTTTATTTTTTTTTGGTTTTTAATTTTCCTTTTCTCCCTTATTTGTATGTTTCCTTCATTTGGGCCGCCTTTTACATGCCCCACCCTGCAGGAGGTATGTAGCCATGGTTCTGTGCTCAGTCTGTGCCGATGCAGGGCCCAGTATTTAAGCTGTTTCTTGCTTTCCTGGTCTCCCGTTTCTCGCTTGGTGGTTTCTCTCTGTGCTGCTATCTGTCCTCAGCCCGTAAGGAATCCCAGACAGCTTGGATTAAATACAGCACACCATGTAGGAGACCCACAGAGGAAGAGTAGTATGTTGCTGGCTACACGCGTGCTGCCTCTTCCTCTTTGGTACCCAGCAGACAAATCACTTCAGAGACTGTATTTTACTGGACCAGAGCTGCAGTGTAGTGGATAGCTTTGTACATCCATGATCATGCATCACCACGTGTTTCATCGAGGTTTTCATGCTGTGCGTTGCAGCTCAGAGTTCTATAAAATGAAAGATAGGAGTGGACTCTGGAATGAGGTCCAAGGCAGGTTTTATTGGACAGCATATAACAACATCTTGGCCCAAGAAGAGCCTTTTTCAAGCTCATCCTGGCTTGGACCTTATACGAGTGCCCAGTCTTATCTTTTTTTTTTATTACGGATATTGGGGACCTGGTCACCTTTGGGCTGGGAGCTTGGTGGGGGTCATCATCTACATGCCTACTCATGTGTCAAACGTTCTGACAGAATGTCATTAACCTGGGAATACACTGAGAGAGTGTCACACAAATGTATCTCTGTGTGTTGGAATATGTCCCATTGTTTGATAAATGCAGTTAGTTGATGCTTTATTTTGCTTGGAATGTTCCACTTTATTCCACAAGGCTTCATATATTAAAGTTTGCCATGTGCTGACTTGGCATTAGCCAGACCTGTGGTCAGATACTCACTTCTTTGTTGACGACCCTCTTGAGATTTAGCGGAATGTTTTATAGATTATTTATATTTATTTGCTTTTCTTAGCTGAAGCAATAAACACAAATACTCTAATCTAAAATCAGGTAATATTTATTTACCGTATAGTGATTTAGAAAGCAGACCTTTCATAGATATTTTGTTTAATAAAACGGTGCTGATTGTGTGGCCCTGAAGTCCCTACGGGGATTACGGCTGTAAATACAGTTGAGAGGAACACAGTGGTTTTCAGGTAATGTGCCTTTAACCTAATCGGCCTTCGTTAATCTCCTTGATTAGGATATTATGAAATATCCTTATCATAAATGACATCTTTGCATATTAGTTTACCAGACACAGAGTCATAGCTCTGCTCCAACACTGGGATTGAGCACAAAGGTCGACGAGTCTAAAAGTTTGCATAATAATTCATATATGCTGCAGTGTACTCCACAGAATGCGAGCAGAAATCATTGGCAACAATAAAGTGCCAGGATATCCATGCCAAAGGTCACTTGCCTATCCTAGCTGTTAAATAGATCGTATTTAATTAACGTCCCACTGGCACATTGTAGCACTGTCTGGTGCCTGACTTACTGACTAGTGATATTACATCCACTCCATGATTTTTCTTAGCAGGGAATGGAGTGTAGCAACCCATATCAACTTCTGCATAGTAGTTCTTGTTAATGATTGTGAGAGCAAGACCTGAAAGACACCTTTTGTTATTTCAGAAATCAATGTTTCTGTGTTTTGGAGCCAGACCTGTTTATCATAAAACTATAAATGCAGGCTGAGTCGTCATTCTGACATCACACCACTTCCTCAGAAAAAAAAACCTCACCCTTTCATTAAATTTAAAAAAATAACTGCGCGGGCCTGATGTCTTTATAATAACCATAAACCTCAGGTTCCTGGATACGTGTATCTGCCACATGCTAAATGTAACTGGATGTGTAGGAGTAAATGGTATTAACCAGGGAAATACGTTTTAAATGCTGGTTATGACAGGCAGATGGCTTTCACATGATATCACCATAAAGAACTGAGCATTCCTTTCATCCAGCTTTACTCTCTTTCACATCGGCTATTGCGGAGTGCTAGCTCTTCTCCCTGAATGATGATGGTCCTCCAGGGGGCACCGTAGCATACCTGTGCCCACTGCTACCATGGAGAGGCCAGCAGAAGGCTGCCATTATACATTGAAATGTAAGCAGCTGTTTGAGCCATCAGCTGTCGATATGTGCAAACTAAAATCAGACAGATATCATGAAATCATACCAAACCCTCTTATAATAAGAGGGACACACACTGTGCCTCCCATTTAAATTATTGTCCTGATATTAGTGTACAAGTCAAGAGTGCTTCTGATCCAGAACGTTTTGTTCTTGAAACCAGATCCATGACTAATTAACATTGTGTAATTAAGAGAGAGTTGGCAGTGGCACACAAGTCCCTGAAATGTAATCTGTTTTGCGCTGGCGCCTATTAAATGTAATGGAGCGGACAGGTTAGTTTAATGGATCAGCGCATATGACCCTCGGCCTGGCATACAGAGCAGGTACATGTTCTCCTGCCCCCTTTCCTGCATTTCATTACCAGACTCTATATGGAACCCACGGACAATGCTGGAGCCAAATCTGTATTGGGAATTCACATCTCCCTGTCCATGCTGGATTATGGCCTGGGGAGAACATTGGTTAACATACTGGGCTTGCTCACTAAACCGCAATCCACTCAGGATCTCAGCAGAGAATTGCACATTATAAACCTGAGCTGAGCTAAAAAATTACCCAGTTGCGGATTTTTTTGCTTCCCCCAATTTGGTTATTTTGTAATTCTGTTGTCCGTTGTCCACATTTTTCGAATGTTGTAAATAAACCCTTCAAGGCTAATTCTATGTTAATGTGTGAAGCCTGTCTCCAGCCTTGCCGAATGACTCCAAATAATGACGTACTCAGCCCTATTGACACATAGTGATCCCTATACACGCAATGACTCACACCGATCGTGTACATACATGTTCTGCTACAGGGATTTGTGTACGCCCCATGACACACGCACTGTGACTCATTACACCGAGCTGCATGTTTTGTCTACATGACACTTCCGGAAATATATCCGTGTTTATTTTAATAATTTAGCTCTATTTAGATATCTCTTTGCCAGTTAGCAGTCTAGACACCTCTGGTACAGTTTAGAATGTTGCTTTGTAATTGATCTGTGCTGTTGTGGGGTTGTTTTTGTCTCTCCTTGGTGGAGTACAGTATTAATTCGCACAGCCCCTCCTTTTGCCATACTCCCCCCTCGCTCCCTTTAAATGGTAGAATGATCTCTAATGGACTGCACTCTGCAGGGGCAAAGCATTCTATTGGGATCCCTGGAATCTATGTGCCTACTGGTGCATAAAGAGCTGTGTCTGTCTGCACATCTCATAACATTTCTGTGGCTACCCCCTTTTTTTTCTCATTTTATTATTTTTTTTTGCGGCTGCTGTCCTTTCTGTTTAGACTGAAATGTCTACAGGGGCCTTGACTTCATGTTAAGCTCGTACTGAGCAGTTTTAATGCCAGCGGGAATGCTGCAAACTTGCTAACACCACGTCTGAAATCATCTACAGTTTTACACCTCAGAGATTTATTGAAATCTAGATTCATAATAATGATTTCTAGTACCTTGCCCTAAAAGCATGCTCTGATTTGGAGAATAGGAGTCTAAAACCCCTGTATGTAACCGTTTCTCTGTCATTTCATTAAACGTCTTCCCATTTTGCCGTTATGTAAACAGCCTCTCCACCTGGTCAGATAGTCTACTTCATTTTTAACCCCTTAAGGACACATGACATGTGTGACATGTCATGATTGATTCCCTTTTATTCCAGAAGTTTGGTCCTTAAGGGGTTAAAGATGCAATGCCATGTTCCGGGAATTCACAGTGAATTTCAAAATTTAGGGAAAGAATTAGAGAAATTCTGCAAATCCATTCTGTTTTCAGTTTGCTTATTTTTCCCTTACGTTTAAAAACCACTTTGAATTCCAGGCAATTCTCAATTTAGCGAATTGCCTTGCATTTGTTGTGAGGATTTAATTAAGTTTCCAACTGGGTATTTGCTAGCCTTCAGAAAAAAGGACTGTCTGATAAAGTTGTCCCTTTATCTTTTCAATAAAGTGATAACAATAAATCTAGATTTGCTAAAACATGATGGATAAATTTTTGTTTTGTTTTTGGAAGCTCCGAGCATCTTCTGTAATGAGCAATAACATGACCATTTCACTCACCAGCAGAGAGATATCCGTATTCTATTCCGCTTTTCAATCTATTGTTGGTCCAATAACCAATGACATGACTTTTTTTTTTTTATCCAGTTTGGACGTTTTGGATGACAGTCATTTTCTGACAGGTCTGTGCATTGTTTCTCCACGTTGATCTAAGGAAATTGCCAATAAAAGTATAGATCAAAATATGTATTTGCCGGAAGCTTTCGGTAAGCTTGCCGCAGATAATCCAGAGATAAACCGTGATGCCATTTTCTAATGATGGATTGGATTCACTTTTTTGGATCCAAATGAGACTGAAAATATGCTTTTTATCCATTGCAATGCTGAGTACCACAAGCTGTCTGGCACAGTATTCAATATAAGCACATAGCACTCGGACCCGTCCCTTAGACATGTAATAGATGCTGTGTTCCTTCCAGTTTCTGGGTTTCTGCTTTCTCTGTCGATTCTGCATATGGTTCCATCTCTCTGCATTGGAATGCTCCAGTAGCTGTCGTAAACACCCATTTCTGGTTGTGATGAAGGCTGTAATGTCTCTCTGCGTTGGGTACACAGGATGTGTCTGTTCTGCTTTCTATGTTCTGTGTTCTTCTTTAATTTATGTCCTGACTTAGCTGACCCTGAACTGTATATCCTATCTCCCCCCCAATCCCTAATTCCATCCTACCACATGTTCTGTCCCCCGCCCTTCCCCAACTTGTCCACTTTCCCTTCAGCTCCCCTCTGTGTGTGAACCTTACCTTCCTTTCCAGTTTCCTGACATTTGCCAACGATTCCCAATTAAACATCTTTTGTTTACCTCTGCAGGTGGTCGTGTTAAAACCTGGAAAAGGCGCTGGTTCATCCTGACAGACAATTGTCTGTACTACTTTGAGTACACAACGGTGAGAGGCCTGGCTTCAGGAGTATACAACTGTCTCTGTACATACGAGGGGTGGGCAACGCAATGCATTTCAGAGGATCATGGTGGTACTTTATCACCAGCCAGAGAATCAAATGTAGATTAATACAGAGACAACAGAATATTATTAACATGTTTTACACACAAGGGTCCATTAAATTAAAACCAAATGGCCAAATCTAGGCAAAAATAGTTAAAAATCACAGTTTATAGACACAACTTGACTATTATAGCTTACATTTTGTCATTTGGATCTTGGTGAATAGACCCTTAGTTTCACGTGTACAGATAGAAATTCCTGTCCGAGAGCACGATAATGCTGAATGTAACGTTCGAAGAGCTGGCATGTTGGCATCTAATCAGTTTGCTAGCCAGATCATTCTCTGACGCGTGATTCACACACTGCGTGTAAACAACCATTGTTTACGGAACGGCATTCACTACGGCATTAAAGATTCAGATAAACAGATTATTGTTTAATGTAGAGATGAGCTGAATCATTTTACACTCTGGATATCGGTTTCTGGTTTGGCCAGTGTCAGTGCACATTCATAGTTGCCCAGTAATTGTATTTAGTCTGTGGGTAGTGGAAGGAAGAGGTACAGTAACTGTGCTAATAACACTGTTTTATCCACCAGGATAAAGAGCCGCGAGGGATAATTCCTTTAGAAAATCTCAGCATCCGAGAAGTGGACGACTCAAAGAAGACTGTGAGTGATTATTGGGGCTAGGGGTAGATTAGAATGGAATGGCAGCATCCACTTGGACAGAAATACTCAGAATTGGTGCATTGATCGCTACATTGTGCTATTTGTAAAACACATTGTGACAGGGGACTAATTACATTAAAGGCAGTGGTCCTATAAATGTGCATTCTCTAACTTTCTAAATGTGATCCTGAGATTTGCAGCATGGGCACAGGCCCTAATATAGCCCCATTTAGGAAGTCAAGTCTGAGAGTTACATCTTTCATACAGTCTGCACAGCAGCTGCCTGACATGTTAAACTGCTAGATTTCAAACAACTGTACTGTCTGCTTAGAACCCTGACAGCCTCAAAGAGTTTATCCATTACAATCACAGGATATACTGCCCCCTAGGTAACTTTTAGCCTCTATTCTCCTCCCCCTATCATTTGTACTATCCAGCTTTCTTTCATTTGCTTCCTGTGAAGCTCTGCTAATCCCACCCTGGAATAATTCTGTGCTTCCACCCTTTGTTCCCTGCTCATGTCTATCCAAACATTACTTTTTGTGACCTTTGTCCCTCGTCCTCTTCCTTAGAACTGCTTTGAGCTGTATATTCCGGATAACAAGGACCAAGTGATCAAGGCGTGCAAGACTGAGGCTGATGGACGTGTAGTGGAGGGAAACCACACAGTGTATCGGATCTCTGCCCCCACACCCGAAGAGAAGGACGAGTGGATGAAGTGTATAAAGTAAGTGAATTCTTGTAAATGTTGGACCTGTTTTTAGACTAGTTTATCTGCTATTGTGTTTGCCCATTATGTTATTTGTAAGTTAAAAAAGCAGGTAAGGGCTTTGTCTACATACCTACCAGGAAATGTGCTGGAGTTTCTCCAGTGCCTCTGGTAGCGACTCTGTTACTAACCAGTTTAAGGAATGATTTAGGTGAAGCGACATTTTCAGAGTTAAACTGTGAATTCTCAAGAATTCAGAGTGGATTTTCAGTTTCAGGTCATAATAAATAAATAAATATGCAAAAATAATTAAATTTGGCTATTTTACCCTAAAATTTTAATTCTTGACAATTCACACTGTGAAAAACGTTGATTAAGTGAGTCTGTATAGAAAAATTTTTTCAATACTATGTACAGAAAAGGCTTTTGTCCCTGGTAGCACAATTACCTCCATGGTGCATTTTTACTTTATTTGCTAGACTCAAAGATGCTGGAATTTAAAAGGCAAATTTTATAATAAGGATCTGCGTGTGATTTCTCTCTTATGGTATTGTCCATGCCCCGTTTGTGGTCATGTCATGTGCCTCGTTCTAGGATGTGTGTGTGATTGTTGTCATTTACACGCTCCTCATTTTTGCTCCAATAATATGTATATGATCTTAACTGCTGCCTTGTTTGTCTTTTGCCCTGTTAAAAAAATAAATAAATCCTTGAATTTCTCTCCCACAGGGCTGCCATCAGCAGGGATCCGTTCTATGAGATGTTGGCTGCGCGAAAAAAGAAAGTCTCTTCAACCAAGCGACATTAGGACCATGTTAGCTGGTGGTGCTCCTACGCAGACCGTGCCTCTTCCACCTGTTCGTGTGATTGACTCTTTCAGCACTGTAATAATGATGTTGGCCCATTGAGCTACAGCCAGAGTGGAAATCTTCTCGTTCCACTCTTCCCTCTGCCTTACGTGGGCCCCTAGTGCAGCGATAGATGTACTGGATCCCAATACTGTCACATTCCATTTACTGTTACAACCTGGAGGCCCCACGCCCCCAAGAAGTCTGGGGGCCGCTATTACGTGTATACCGCAGCAAAGGAAGCATATTTCTGCCAGGTTCCCTTCCTTTAATCTGAGTCTATTAAGTAGGGAGAACAGCCATGTGTCTCAGTCCAAAGTGTACCTTCTGGATATTCAGAGATCTTCCCAGGGTCCAAGAGATATCCCAGAACTTTCTCCATGTCCTGGATAGTACCTGGAGAACTCATTGAGTGCCAGCAATAGGAGGTGTTCCTAAGGTCATAGGTCAGGCCCATTCAAAATGGAAGGAATTAGTACGCTGAGAATCTTCTAACCATTGCTGCTTAGAGGACCTTATGCTGCTCCTGTTACCTCTGAAGATATAGGCTGCTGAAAGGGGTTAAAAAGGAACAGTTTATTTACCAAAATACAGGCTTGTTCCTTCCCCTAGGTGCGGGTTAGTCTTGGTGTACGTTAACCAGCAGAGCAGAGAGCAGGAGGGGAACCTCTTAACGGTGCATAAATAAAGCCATTGTCTAGGTCTTTTTCTAACGAAAGTAAATATTTTTGCTTTTTTAATGTAAAATATTTCCTTTTTAGTCCCATTTCTTGGTACTTGCTCTTATTCGAGGGCCTGTGCAGTGAAACAGTGTTACCTTATCCTATTTATAAAAAAATAATGTAAATAATGTCTTTTTTTTTTTTTCTTTTTTTTGGGGCTTTGCTTTATATTTGTTGTTTATATCTTTCTTTATTTGTTCCAAAGAATTTATTCCTGCAACGGGGAAATCCTCACAAAATGCACGTGACACAATTAAATCTTATGTTAATTTATCATTCTTAATTCTTTGTTTCGCTACAGCCCAGCAGATTAACGCACTGCTTACTGTAGCTAATAAATGATAAACATTGTGCCGTTGTCCTGTTTTATTTCTCACACTTACAATGGCGCTGGAGTAGTGTCCATGGCATAAAGTTATGCAGGGCCGGTGCGAGGATTCTTGACCTGACAGGCCCCCTTTTTGTTTTTCTTACCACTTCTTGAGGAATGCGTCACTCCCCCAATTTTTCCCCTTTGTGTATCCCTCCCTCGTCCCCTTGAGGTCTCTTCTCCCCTTTCTCCTTCTAGCATGGCCATGCAGACTGTAATAGAGGATCTTCTGGTCTGTCAAAATGCTGTTTGTCAGACTGGGTAGAAGATCCTTTACCAGTCTTCGTGGCCACGCTACATGTAGTGACTGGTGGTCATCTGGACATTGTTCCCCCAGGTCCGTTCGCCCTGAGCTGTCCGCCTGTGCTGCCTTTTGGTTGTGCTGGCCCTGATGTTATGTATAAAAGATTTCTCTATATAAAAGATTGCCATCCCACTTTTTTGGAGGTTTATTATCAAAAGATTAAAGAGACATTCTAAGAATTGCAGTGATTTTAATGCATAGATGCAAACTCTTTTCTGAGACAATGTAAGACATCACTATGTTGGAGACATGGCGATGTTTAAGAAAACATGCCTTCGGTGGCTACCAGACAGACCGTCACTAATTCCTCGAAGTGGCACTGCCATGCTCTTTTTCTTTTAATTTCCCTGAGGTCTGCATAACCCTTCTCTAAAAGAAATATTGAATTGGCATATCGTAAAGTTTGCAGTGCAAGGCCGTGCAGTGCCCAGTGTGCTCTTGCCCAACGCCCTTACCGCTTCCGTTAGTTCTGTGGAATTAATGGAAGAGGAACAAAGGTTCAGGGAGGTGCTTTCTTAAAAAGAGATGATTTCTATTGACATTTTTATAAACCGTTGACTTGTTTGGTGTGTCTGGAATGTTCCTTTCAAACAAAACATTTTTAAAACCAACATACAGAATTATTAATGTGACCACGTCACTAAGTATTGAATGTGATTTAATGTCACTTTGAGGCTTTTAAGAGGACCAGGTTGTGATGGAGTGAAGCCTTTGAGCAAATAGCACGGCATTCACAATTTCCAATTGTTTTAATAATAAACCCTCTCCGTACACCAACATTCTAATAATCTAAACTGTCAGACCGAGATCAAGAGATCTGCAAATATGTGATATTTTCCTCCTCCCCCTTGCCCCCCAGCTTTATTTTCCTCACTGCTCGCCTTTCATTTTCTGCAGCTGACACAGAGTTTGTGGTTTTTCATTGAACTTGGGGAAAAAAAGTCTTAAAAAGCAGAAAAACAAACTGGTTCTCATGTTTCTGATGTGTATGGAAAGTAAAAGCTTATTCTGCACTCACGTGAATGTCACGCGAGGCAACAAAATCCAGTATCAGCGATCTTCCTTTAAAGTACTCAAAATCATTTAAAGGGGAACTGTGACATCTCGGTAAAACCTTGATTATCACCTAGAAATAGTTTTACCGTTTTATATGATCCTTCGTTATTAAGTTAACATTTTAACAACTGACACCACAAACTCGTTCAGTCCTGGCACAGACAGGGCTGCATTCAAGGAAAATTATTTAACCTCCTCTTTCTGTGCCGACTAACAAGGAGCCAAAATGGAGGCGTGCAGTACCAGGACAATAATTACACATGGTGTTGATTTCTACGTTTGCTTTTAAAAAAAAAAAATCTTTTCATTCTTTATTTTTGCAGTGCATAAAGATGAGACAGGGCCGGAATGCAGCACTAATTACCGGTATATGATGTAATAAATCCAGTATAGGAATATATGTGTAAAACTTTGGGTTAAATTAAGCAGGTAGACACAAGAGGCAAGTTAGCCATAGCGATTAATATCAGTAAAGGAATAATATAATAAAACATGCTTATAGCAGTAGCCTAGTATGTCATGAACTATAAGGTTTAATGTTGGTTAAACGTGTCTGCAAAGTTATAAAATGCTTGGAAAAACATGGAATACATGTCGGTAGTGACAATTAGACAATTAGGATGAGCTGACTCAGAGTTATGGAGAGGCAATGAAACATGCTTATAGAGGTAAAGAAAATGGAAGTGAGTTACTGGTTAACGACTGGGCTTGCTGTACGGAAGTTACCAATGTGACTGCACCGAGAGGCAATTTAGCTCACTAAACAATATATGAGAAAAGGGAATAAAGCAATATAAACATTATAAAACAAGGCAATACGGCCAATGCAGTGATCTCAGGAGCCAGTCTCTGGGTGGAACCTCTGGTTTCTCAGATCGAGGCCTCAACCAACTACAGCGCTTGGTAGGCATAACACATGGTCAGGGCGTGCAGCAGAGAGTCCCGCATGGCGGAGCCATGGTAGGGCATCCCTCCTGCCCCTGGCCTGCTCATAAACCAGCATCATCTGGCTGCGGACCCGTGGTGCCAGAACAGCCCAGTCCTCCCTGTGTGGGAAATACCAACTGGTCCCTGTCTTGCATGTATCAGACCCCTGCTGGTGTCGTGGATGCGCGGGAGTCATACCCCCAGTAGGCCTTGGCGGGACTGAGAGAAGACCCGGGGCTTGTTGGTTTTTTGTGTCCCGTGGGCGCTCACCTGATCCTCTGTTGTCGCCCCCAGGGCTGTCTTTAACGCAGGGCCAACAGGGCAGCTGTCCCGGGCCCAGTTGCTCCTGGTGGACCCTAGAGCTGCTGCCCTGTGGGCCCCGTGATTTGCGCAGCCCTCATGGACCTGGCGGTGTAGCTGCACTGGCCCGGACACTAAGGAGGCCCCCCAGGTAACCCATGCACTAAGGGCCACCTGGTGGGCATGTGTCAGCAGGGACGCGATTGGGCACTGTGGCACTTAAATAGTGCGACCAGGCCCCTTCCTGTTCGGCAGCCAGCTGGGAGGAAGTGAGTGCTGTGTGTCACTTCCTCCCACCGGAGGTCAGAGCCATGAGGGAGGAGGAAGGCAGAGAGGAGTGGAGTTCCAGAAGATAACTCCCAACTGCCTCAGCCTGCCACGGGACCCCAGGGAAACCTGGAGGGTGTCTAAATGTAGCATGTGTGTCAGTATGTCTGTGTGTGTATATCTGTCAGTGTATATGGCTGTTCCCCCACTGCATTGGGGTGAAAAGTGTGATTGGGGGTTGGGTGTAATTGGGGGGGAGGGCCCAAGAAAATGCTTTGTTCAGGGTCCTATTCATATTATAGACAACCCTGGTCGCCCTGCCAGCTTTTCTCCGTAAGCTGTTGGTGAGCGGCTGCAACTCGCCTCTCCAGCATAGCCCAGAACGCTGTGAAAATTGCCTCTAAGCTTAGTAGGAGGTGCGCAGTGAAGTCCCCAAAGATCCTGTGTCCCGTCAGAGGCCCATCCACCATTTTAGTTTCGTCCACTGCCTGTAGGTAATTATAGTGAATGCTTTTGAGGCACAGAAGGTTTAGGTGAGTCAGTCCAGTGGTGACCGGGCTAACCCCCACCGATCATGGGGTGGGAGGGAGAAGGAGAAAGAGGCATCCATATGCAACCTAAGGAGCAGGGAAACCCAATGCAGTTAAATGAGACGTCATTGCGAGGCAGGAGCTCTGGGCAATTGCTGCCTCTTAAATTTAGCTTCACTGAGCTAAACAAACCAGGAAGTAACAGGACCAGCTATCTGATTGACAGCCAGGTGGGTGTAACAAGGTTCATTTATAAAAGAAACAATTTGTATGGAAATCTGCAAGCTGAGGTGCTTTGGGTGTTTCGAGTGTACCTTAAAAATAAGGGATAGCACAATGTAATAAATATGAGGAATTGATGGATCCCCTTTAATATTCAATACATCTGACGGAGAATTCGGGAAACAGGTAGCTCTGTTTTGCACCAACACAATCATGGTTATGCACTTAAAAACTGTGAATTGTCAGGAATTGAATGTAAATTTCAAAGTTTAGACCATGAGAGTCAAACTGGGGGGGGGGGAAAATAGCGAAAATCACACTTTGCTGAACAACTGCATTTATATTCACCAGACCATAAGTAATTAATTCATTATGGGGAAAATCACAAATAAACTACTGTTCCAATTTAACTGAGGACACAGCGTAGACTCTCTCTTTCATGAATAAAATACCAAAATATGGACGTGCGCAGAGTTCCTGACCAAAGAAATAGGACTGAGAAATTACTGTTATTCACTCTGTATTTTCACAAATTAACTCTGAAAGGAAAAACCCCACCTTGTCTGTAATTTCAGCTAATTTTGAGTCAGTTTTCCTACTGAGATTTAAGTTTGTGGAAAACCCCTGCCGTATTTACAGATGCAAACGCTCCTGGGGTTTTACGGCAACCATCTTCGGCCCTCCAGACGTTGTGTACTACATCTCCCTTGGTGCTTTGCTAGCATTACGGCTGCAAGGGCATTATGGCAGATGTAGTCCAAAACATCTGGAGCGCCAAAAGGTTCCCCACCCCTGTGCTAGGCTGTTTCTTACTGCATTAAATTCCTGATTGATTGGAAATGGGGCCTGGAGCTGTAACTGCTCTGCAGGAGATCTGGGCTTGTGTCAAAATGAGCAGAGAAAGCAACCATGAGCTACCTCTGGACTCCTCCTGGTGGCTGACTTTGGTATTGATAGCATTCAGCAATAGGGAGTTTAGCACTGCATAGGTGCAGGGCTGGATTAACATAGGGGCTGAAGGAGCTGAAGCTCCAGGTCCATGCCCAAGGAATAGGTAAATTGATTTAAAAAAATAAAATATATATATATATATATATAGAGAGAGAGAGAGAGAAAATGTATTTATTTTTTTACTTTTCACATGCTCTTGCTTTGTGGAGAGGGAATTAAGTATGGAAACTTAAGAGGGATTTAGTGGAACAAAATTTGTGTGGCCTGGCTGTCTTTAAATTAGTTAAGGTAAAGCTGACTTTGCACACTGTGTAATTGTTCTGCTTTACTCTCGCTAACACTGTGGCATGTTCCCTTTCTTCTACACTCACTATATACAGCTTTTCTCTGTCCCAGACTGTATACCAGGTGCTTCTGCCTGCTA